TCAAGCACGTCGTGCCCCCGCACACCAAGGCAGCGCTGGACCTGCCGCGCCAATCGCTCATGGTGACCGACCAGACGATCGGGCTCAGCTGGGCACACACGTGGCAACCCCTCCACGACGTTCGACTGCACGCATTCGGGCAATCCGTGGTCCTCGTGCCAGCCACTGCCAACCAAAAGCAGGTCATGCCGTTGCTGTTGGACGTCGAGACGCGGCAAGGCCAGCGTACGCTCACGATATCGGCGATTGTAAAGGTAATTCCACTTCGACGCGACCGCATCGATGGAGTTGGGAGTCCATGGAGTTGGATGGCACTTGTAGGTGTACAACGACTGCTCGGTGCCGCTTCGGATCGGGTGTGTGCGCGGCGGCAACGCGATTGTCGACGCCGGTGAGAAAAATGGGCACCACGAATGCAACGAGTGATGGGTGGATGGGCGTAGGTATCGTCGCGCCATTTCAAAGCAAGGGATTGCCGCTCGAAATGTGCGAGACACTGCATGGCCTGCGCCTCGTCGTTGGCCCTGCTCGTGACGACGCCGCCGGCAAAGCTCTTGAGGGGTTGTATCAGTGGAGCGACGCCTTTCCTGTCGACGCGGCCGACGAGTTGGTTGCTTCGTGTCCGCTGAAAGTACTCGAGTCGAAAAACTGCCTGTGCATGCCGTCCTTTAGCACGACGTCGCCACAGCTCTCGTCCACGTCCGAGTTGTGCAAACACGGGAAAATGTACTTCAAAGTCGTCCCGCAGGTCAAAACGGCGGCGGGGCATCCATATGCGTTGGTCCGGATCGTGGCACCGTGCACGATCGAGAACCATTGCCCTGTCCCGCTTTCCTTGCTGGTCTTCACGACCAAGAAGCACTCGACCAAGCCCGTGTCGGCGAAGGGGCCTGCTCTTGACGAAGAGATCGAACCGATCCAGCTGCACCTCGTCACGGCCATGACCGTGCCGTCGCACACCAAAGTTCACTTGTACCAAGCGTCGTTGCAATTCAAAACGTACGCGGCGCTAGCACTGGCAGAGCACCAGTGGAGCCAGTTGCAACCGATGGATATGGGCAAGGACAAGGAGTCCATCGTGGCCTTGAGAGACTGCCAGCGCCGAACCCACACCGTTAACTGGCACGCCGCGTCGGCGCACCACCAGTTGGTCGCGACGATCTGGCCCACGTACGTACTCGTCGACGAATCCAAGCTGAACGTCCTCTTCGACGTGGAGCTGACGGCAAAGAAGTCGCTCTCGTCCCTGCTGCACTTGTCCAATTCGAAAAACTCCTCGAAGGAGAACCACTCGTCGGCCACCGACACGCTCGAGACGGACGTGATTGAAGCGACTCTTGACGTCCTGGGGGAAATGGCCATGGCCCAGGTATCGTTCACTTTGTGGTCTTTGTTGCACGACATTCAATGCTGGCGTAGAAGGACCCAAATGCCGCCGCCGCCACTCCTGTCCAGCCCTATTTATTGTCGGGTACGTCGCACGTGACCATTCGACTGGATCCTGTCCGCGGGATACGGACGTCAACGGCGTCGATTCATTTGGACGCGATCAGTGACTCGGTGCAGAACTGCCATCGTCTCTTCAGCGATGCGCTCAAGGAATGGCACGATCTTGGCGTGCGCATGACCCTCACGTCAGCATCTCGTTCCAAGATCGTCACGATCCATCCACGTTACATGGTGCTCAACGTGACTCCGTACCCGTTTCTGCTGTGCCCGACATCGCTGGTGAACAAGACCGCGGCGCCGTCCGCTCCGTTTGGGGAGGCTGCTGCGTCTCTGGCGCGAACAGGGTCTTTTCCAAGGGCCCCCACGCGCCAGACATCAGCGGGGCGGGTCCCCGGCCCTCCCGTGGGGGTCTCGACCTTCGCCCCCAACGCCCCGTTCGCTCCGTTCCACTGGTCCTCCATGGCCGATCCCACCGACTACTCGGTCCGCACAAAGCCCGGCGAGGTAGGTGCTTCGACTAGGAAATCTTCCGTCCTTCCGCACGGTCGTCACATGGATCGTTCTAGTCGAGTGGGTGGAAGTGGAGCGGCAAGTTCGATTTACACCAAGTCGGGGAAACCGCGCTCAACGTCATCAACAAAGCAACAAACGACGTTTACGTCGTCCGCATCCACATCCGCGTCGTCCACGCGACTCAAATCTGGATTGTGATTTCGCTGGAAGAGGCGTCGCACGCGCTGTATCGGCTCGTCAACCACACGTCGATGCGGCTCCAGTTTTGGCAACAGTTTGACATGGACCCGGGATACGTCCGCGACGTCGGCGCCGCGGAAGACGTGTGGTTTGGGTGGGACGAACCGTACGGGTGCGAGGAGCGCACGATCCAAGTGTGCGTACCCGAACACAAGGTCGAGGCCAGCGTCGTCGTCGACCAGATCAACGACGTTGTGCAAACGTTGCAAGTCGGCGGCCGCGATGGCGACCAGCCGATCACGGTGCTTTACGTGCAGGTGTACTTGGACGGGTTGACCAAAGTGCTGCACGTGAGCGAGCGCCGCACGTCGCGCGATACGCTCATGCGCATTTCGTCGACCGCTGCGTCAGCCAACATCCGATACGTTGTCGACCTGGTCCTTCCGTCCCTCGTGCTGGCGCTAGTTCACGGTGGCGGCGAAGTTGTCGTCGTCACGATCGGCGAAAGTTCCATCATCGGCGGCTACACACCTGACGGCAACGAAATCGAAGTCAAAGTCCACAGCGTTCAGATCGACAACCAACACACGAAAGCGTGCCCTGTGTTGTTTGCCCCGAGCAAGTAGGCAGTCGTCGCGCGGGCGTCCCATGTCGCTCACGCGTTTGGGTTTGCGTAGGGAAGACATGGACAAGTCGGTGGCCGCTACCAAAGACGAGGCGACTCCTGCTATGCCGACCCAAGACGCTTCGCCGCCCTTCCTCCACGTGTCGATCGTGCGCCTCTTTTACCATCCCGACATCGAATTCTTCAAGGTACAGTCGGGTCCCCTTGTCGTCACCAAGGCCTGAGTCGTCGTCGCTGTAGTATTTGTCGGTGTTGATGCAGCCCGCATCGTTGCAGCTCGACGCTTCGATTCTCTTTACGGTCGCCAACATGGTGTCCGACTGGCTCGGGGTGGCGACGGCATATTTTCCCGACCTCTTCACAGACAAGCCTGTGGCGTGGGTGGCGCAAACGATGCACAGCGAGCCGCGGGTGTATTTTGAGACGCTCCAGCTGCATCCGCTCAAGCTGTGCGTCACATTCACTCAAAGCACGTTGCCATCCCAGGTATGGCTTGTGTGTGTGGCCCCATCAAAGACGTGTGACGTGGTGCGTTGCAGGCGGAAGAAGTGATGGCCGTCGTGCCCGGCATGTTTCGCATTTTGCAGACGAATTTGGCCAACATTGACAACGCGCCGCTGCACTTGAACGCGTTGGTAAGTTTTTCACGCGATCGTCCGGTTCTCACGATCGTCGGTAGCACATTTTCCACTCGTACACGTCGCTGGCGCTGCTCGTGTCGTGTGTACGGCAGCATTACACGAGCCAGTCGCTTCGCCAAATCTACTCGTTGATCGGATCCGCCGAGATCCTGGGCAATCCCCTCGGGTTGGTGTCGAATTTGGGTATGTTGATCGCGCGTTGGATACCGTTCGTTGACGGGGCTGGCGGGACGGGAACAGGGAGTGGCGTGAAAGACTTTTTTTACGAGCCCGCGGCTGGGATGGTCCGCGGCCCTGGGCAGTTTGTCAAGGGGCTCACGCGAGGCACGGAGAGCTTGGTCAAGAATTCCGTCTACGGCACGTTCAACGCCGCGAGTAAGCTCACGGGCAGCATCTCGACGGGGCTTGCCACGTTATCCATGGATAAATCGTACATTCAGTCGCGAAGCAATCGACCCAAGAAGGACGGACCGACGAATGTCGGGGCCGGGTTGCTCCTCGGTACCAAGCAGCTGGGCCAGGTTGGATTCGCATGATGGCGCTTCCCACGTGACGTCGAGGCGTAGGGCATCTTGGCGGGGGTGTCGGGGATACTGACACAGCCAGCGATGGGCGCATACCACAACGGGCTGACGGGGTTTGTCGAGGTGAGCCATATTTCGTTGGAAATGGACTTTCCAGATCAACGCCTTTGACAAAAGATCGTGTGGGGTGCACAGGGGGTTGGGAAGGGCATTATCGGAGCAGCGGTCAAGCCAACGGCCGGCATTCTGGACCTTGCGGCGCAAACGACCGCCGGGATCACGTACTCTGCTGCTTCCTTTGACAAAAAGCCAAAACTGAAACGAGTGCGGTTGCCGCGGGTCATGATCACACCGGACAAACGCTTGACGGTACGTGGGACACACATGTGCTGCCGGGTGGTTCCATCGCTGCGAGGACGCGTTTGGTTTGTAGTTGGCATCGATGCGGTTTCTTTCGACCGTGCTCTGACTTCTGCGTATAGATGTACTCGGCCGAAGAGGCGTCGGTGGCGTGGTGGCTGTCCAAACTTCCAGCAAACACGCTGCATCCAACCGAGCAATACGATATGCACGTGCTTCTGCCATCTTCCCGCGCGCTCATTTCGACGTCGCATCAACTCATGGTGGTCGACACGGCAGCCAAGCCGCGGGTGTTGTGGGCATACCCTGTGTGGACCGTTCGTAGTACCAACAGCATGGACGACGGCGTTCAGTTGTGCATTGCCCCAAACGACGACAGCACAAGCGGCAAGGTCGTGACGGTCCAGCTCATTTTGGACAGCGCAGCCGATCGAGATCGCGTCGAAGCGTTTGTGTGTAAACTCGTGAGTCGGCACTCCAAGGACCGAGGCATTGGGCCCTGTGTGATGCGCTAGCACGCTGTCACGAGGCCAAAGCTGTGTCGACGTCCGAGGATGGTGGGAATGCAAGTTGTCTGACAGGCTCTAGTAACAACCAGACATGAATGGTGAAAAACTCTAAAATGGTATACTGCGCTCCGTGGGACGGTCAAATGCGCAGAGGACGTGCAGTCTTAGGCCGGGAATCGAGCGCCATATACATGGCATAGTCCAGGATCGTTTCGTATGGGCGCAGCTTGGTGATGTCTTCGTTTTTGTACTCGCCGACGTGAAACGAAAACTTGCTAAAGCGAAGGTTGTTTTGCCACGTGTGCAGATGGGCGTGCAGGGCTGGGGACTCGGACGATGACGTGGGAAAGTCGAGCATGGAGTCGTCCTTGGTGACGGCGACGTTGCGCGTGCAGTGGTTGATCGCAATGTGGCCACCGTACATGGACACGACGCCAATGTGCCAATTGGGCCATCCCTGAATGCCGTACTCGGGGCTCTTTTCTTCCGCCGTAAACTCATTCGCATACAAATATTGCATGATGGCTACGGACAGATTCGCGCACGTCCGGAGGAGGGCTGTTGGTCCGTACCACGTCGACCCGACATTGTCAATCGTTGTCGCCGTCATGTTGAGTTTTGAAATGATCGACTCGAGGCGCTCGCCCGTTGAGTAGTCTGGAAACGAATACATCCCCCTGCCCACGACCATGGTTGGCGGCTTCCATGTGGCAAACGCAGGGGTGAGGAATGTGTCGATATCGGTGCGCAGGATCCAGTCGTACGCATCCAGGTCGGTTCCATTGAGCCCAACAACATTGACCGAGTCAGCAAATTTGTATGGAAACGCCGTCGAGAATACGCTCGTGTAGTTTGTGTACAGGATGCACCGGTTCGGTTCGTTGCGGGTCGTGCGCCGGCTCGTCATGCTGCAGTTGAGTTGTTCTAGAACCGGCAGCGGGCCGTCGCTGTACACAACAATGTCCGTGCGCCAGGACACCGGCTCATACTTTTGCATTTCAATCCACGACCGCCGGAACCAACGGAACTCGTCCTCAAACTTTGGCGTGTACGATGGCAGGTACAGCACGGTCGCGCGGACAAACGACGCGGTGTCCCCTGGTGCAGCAATCGTGAACTGAGAAGAGGGACCGATCATGAGATCGTCGTCGTGCTGGCCGGCTCCATGCGAGCTCGTGCCGCCAAACATGTGCTCGTGCCACGAAAGCGCAACTTGATGGACTTGGGCCGTGTCCATGTCGTACACGTACGCAAGGATGGTGAGCTGGACCACCGCCAAGAACAATACAGTGACCAGAATGCAACGCATGCTGGAGGACCTCCCACTTCCATTCGACTGGACGAATGCCGGCGGCACAACGGAGTCGGTCTGTGTCGGCAGCAACGGCGGGTTCGTGTCACTCATGTCAATGCTGAGCGATCTGATTGTGATATTGAAATCTTTGGCGAAAAACCATCCAAATTTTTTTGGAATTGTGGATGAAAAATATGATATCATACGGATACTGTACATATCGCAGCCACTGCACTGTCGTAATTTGGTCGGGGAGTGTGTGACACACTGTCGATACGTACTTAAGATAATTGTGCTTGCCATTTGTAAGGCACCCATCTGTCGGAACTTGTGCTGACCTTCCGTTGTATGCGCCCCGGGGGGGTCTTCCATGCAGCAGCCACTCATTTGCGCACGCTGGAGTGAAGGCCGAGTACAGAATATCCCGCACGCGGTGCCTTGGCAACGAGAGAGTCCCCGTTTTGCGCGTCACGGTTCCTGTCGTGGTATGATTACCTTGAGTCGCACTTTCACGAGTTGTCTCGATTAAGTTTCGGTACTATTGGAGAGTCTTGTGACTGATATTGCAATGTCGTGGTGCCAAGTGGGTCACGACGCGCCTCCTTGACTGCGCCTCGCGCGTTTGCATGTATCTTCAGTTCATCCTTCTACCAGCTCGTAGCTGGGACGATTGGGAGCGATGACGTTGCATCGGTTTCTGCGGGCAGTTTGGGCAAACCAAATTCGACGTCGCCTGTCATTTTGTCATCACCACGACGGTGAACGTCCCTTTGGATTCATTCCAACCCCACGGCTGCTGAGAAGGTCCTCGTCGCATGACACTATTCAACTTGATAACGTTGTGTGCGGTCGGGAGGCCATGCTCGGACACGCGCAACCCGCGTTCCCACAAACGCCCATGTACTGCGCAACCTCAGCGCTCTCCATCACGTGTATACCTCAGGGGATTCGGTGCCTCCGCAGTGCTGCCGTCCATTCAACGCGAGCTAGCACCCACATCATTGTCAGCTGCCAAAAATGACATTCGAAGTTCGAAATGAAGCGGCCGTGACGACGTCGCAGAGGTGTAGAGTGCAAGGCATCGAAGTTCGAAGGAAAAGGATAACCGACACAAACGAGCACAACTCAAAAATCCACGGGCGGCCCGCAGCTGCCACCGACCCGGAAGGACCTCTCTGCATGGAAACGACGCAACTCATCAAGCAGTCCAGGGAAGGTATCGCACAGTCACTGTGCTTGATGTTCTCTGAAGCTGACCTCCATATCCAGGTGGTGCACCGTATGGCACCTTCGTCCCCAAGGTACACTCGGTCGTTCTTGTCGCACGGTAGCATGCACACGACTCGATTAGGATGACGCCGTCGGCAACACGAAATGGGTTATGGTCAGCATTCTATCGCTCCTGTCTTGTTTGAACCAAGCCATTTGCTACACGTACGCTCCAGTGTCGCGCTTTGCTGAAGCCGGATGGCACCACAAGGTAGAGCCCACGACAATTTGTTGCTCAGGATGACTGACCGGTGCAGATTCAATGCACGACGCTCATTACAATCTACTTTATCGCATATATCCCATTTGCATTTGTCGGGTCGTGGATCATGGACCATCGCGGCCTCCGCTACGGGGTAAATCATTCTTGCCTTCAACGCCACGTGTTGGTTTCCACCCATTTCACGACTGCAAGTGTAGGTTCTCCTCGGCGCAGCCCTCCAAGCTATTGGAGCCTCCTTGCGACTCGTTGGAGAGCTGGTCGATCCATCCTACCAGATTTACTTTCTCGTGATCGGGCAAACGCTTGCCGCGGTCGCCATGCCGTTCATGGTGCCGTTCTCAACAAATGAATGACCCTTACAAATTAGCACAGGTGAACTCGCCACCGATGTTATCTGCCCTGTGGTTTCCGCCATCCCAACGCGCTATGGCCACGTCTATCGCAGTCAACTGCAACCAACTGGGGATTGCCATGGTGTACGTCCTGCTTCAGTCCTGGCACAACCGTGTCATATTCGCAATGGTCGTGTGTAGATACATCTTGTGCCCGTTTTTCGTCACGTCCATCGCCGACATCGCCAACTGGACCGCGCTCGTCGCGGCGTTTTCGGTGGCGGCACTCCTTCTCGCGCTGTGCAAGTTCCGCGCATCGTCTAAGTTTGCCAACATGGATGAGGAAGCGTCGTACAACTGGCACCAATGGGTCAGCGCGTTCCACCACGACGGGTTCTTCCTCACGGTGCTTGTGTTTGCCGTGGCCGAAATGGTCACGAACGTCCTCTCCTCGCTACTCAACCACATCCTCCGCGCTGACGTCTTCTCTAAGGTGACCATCCATTCACGTGGCTAGCCATCCAGCTTTGGCTTGAGCTGACCAGTGGATGTTTGGTGTGGCTAGCCTCAAAAGGGCCTCATTGGCGCTGCGTTCATCGTCAGCGCCCTCATCGGCGGGCAAGTCGTGAGTGGATATATCGACGGCACGCGCTCGCATAAGGTCGCGTTGGTTGTATGTCTCGTCATTACGGGTAGACAAGAGAACTCTCCGTCCCCTTGGAAACGTGATGCGATGTGTGTCGTGGCAGGCGCGAGTTTGGTTTCGTTTCACTTTGCTGCGTCAGCCGTGTTCGCGGGGCAAATGTACATCACCATGGGGTGCCTCATGCTCGCCGGACTCTTCCTTGGCCCGTTGCAGCCTGTGTCCCTCGAATTGGGTACGTAATCGCGGGCTGCGTCAATGTCTCTTCTCAAGCATTCGGCTGGTAGGAGTGGAGTGTGCGCATCCAACTACGGAAGCGACGGTCGCGGCGCTCCAACAGTTGTGCGGCAACTTTTTGTCGGCCGTGATGGTGCCCATTCTTGGCGCGATCCAGCATGCTGCCGAGGAAGTTCATGAGCAACAAGCCGCCGACCCGGCCCACGTCGCCCTCACCTTCGCGGACGGAGGGTACTGGGTCGAAGCGTTCAGCACACCGGAAGTCGTGTTGAGTGTGTTCATCTTTGTCGCGGCATTCTTGTTTTGTGGCTTGTACGATCCGTCCATTCGATATAGACATACTTGGTGATCTGATGGCGTGTGTGGGTAGCGGCGGCAAGTTCAAGCGATCTGCTTTAGAAGGTCATCACGTGTTGTAACGCGGAACGAAGACAGAGACTGCCGACGAAGAGCGACCTGAGGGTAAAGCGAGGCAACATCGACAGTCGCTGTACTTGTCTAGAACGTTCGGCGGAACACAGCATAATACACTGCCAAAGAGAGTGAGAACGAAGCGTTCCTGCTTGGACTCGCTAGGGACAGCAGCGTTTAGTCGCTTGGAAGGTTTGCATCGCGCCAGAGACGTCCGTGCTGTGGAATGGAATATTTTTCTTGAGCTAGCCTCGACCCGCCAAAGAGACCCTCGGCGAACGTGAAGTTGCAACAGCTGATTCCAGAGGTTCATAACACAAAAAGTGCTCTTGTGGTAGACGGAAACTCCGAGTAAAGGCCGCTAGGGGACTCTGGTCGCTCGACGTGTGGGCTGGAGGCGAATGCTGGGGAATTGAAAACTGGCGCGGCGTTGGGTCGTCCATCCCGTCCACGAGACGAATGGATCGACAAGTCGCGGCGGGCCGTTATGTTCAATGGAAAGCAATCGGAACGATGAGAATTCTTGATGGAACAAGACTGATGTTACAGGTTTATCGAGTGAAGGGGATACGTTTCCAGCGATTTGGCCGCCATGCCGACGGTACCACCGCCGTGGTAGCGCGCGCCGGTTGTACTCGGAAGTTGATGATTTTAATAAATAGAGGTGGCCGGGACCTTCCAAAATGGCCACGCATACACAAACAAAACCACAGACCGACGAGCTGCGGGGGAGCGTCGTCCATGTCATGCCTTGGAACAAGGCATACGACGGCGACAGCAGCAACTGGTCTCATGCATGAAACAGCGAGGGGTCACTTATCGGCTGCATGAACTCGGACGCCATGAGCTGCTGCATCGTCATGCGCTTGGTCGGATTCACTTCAAGCATGCGCTCCAACAAGTCCAAGACAGACTCGGGAAACAAGTGATCCATATTCCACCAAGCCAACATGCACCGTAGACCGTTCTCCTGGAAGTAGTCAAAGGTCGGGTCGTCGTCATTGGCCTTCTTGAACAGCGGCGTCCCCGTGACCATGATGAACAGCATGATGCCAAGCGACCAGACGTCGGCCGGGCCAGGGGCGAAGCACGATTTGAGGTACATTTCTGGCGCCATGTAGAAAAACTTGCCAACGGCATCGACTTTTACCTTGTGCAGGTCCGTGGCCAGGCCAAAGTCGCACAATTTGCACTCGCCTTGGCTGTTCACTAGCACGTTCTCGAGGGACAGGTCGCAGTGCGCTACGCCGCGGGCGTGCATGAAGGAGACGGCACTCGCAATTTGGAAGAAATACTCCTGGGATTGCTTGAGCGAGAGACGGCCGTTGGGGCAGTTAATGACGAGGTCAAACAGTTCGCCTTGGGAGCAGTACTCGAGGACCAAGTGGTCTTGGCCGTTCTCCTGGAAGTCCTTCAAGAGCTGAAGGATGTTGGGATGACAACCACTGTCGCTGAGCTTGTGCATGACCTTGCGCTCCATCGTTGCGTCCTCGTGGACGGCATGGTTGCCCTTAATCGACCGTTTCTTTGCGATCGCCTGGGTCGACATGCACTTGACTGCGACCTTCGCCATCGTGGTGTTGTCCACGCACAACAGCACCTTGCCGTAAATGGCTGGGGCGAGCTGTTTCACAATCGTGTACTGCGCGAGGGACATGGCAGCAATGGGAATGAGGTTGCTTGTCGGACGGTGGCCCAACGTGGAAAATGCCGCCGCATTCGACAGTTCTCGGGCCACTCGGTACGAAAACCCAGCGATGCCATTGGACCGTGCCACTTGAAGTTGGGCAACGTTTCTGCAACCAGCATATCTTTACCTAAGTATAGTGCCACGTCATCGGGAAATAGCCGTCGTCGTGCTCGGTCGATCGTGCCGCCGCGCATGCATCGTTGTGCATTGAACGGTGCTTGAGGTAGCGCCCGCCTTGGACCTTGGACGCAGCTACCGTCTCAAAGAACAACGAAGTCATTCTCTGAGGCATGTCGCGACATTGATGGAATCTCCAGAACATATGGCCATACAAAACCGCATAGAAAATTCCGATGCAACGTCTCGAAACCATGGCCAGGTCGGCACGACGACGATATCGTTGTACATGACCTCATGCGTGCTTCATTTGAAATTCGTATAAAAACATACCACGAGACATGGCACACAGCACACCATCATATCATGCACAAAGACGTGGTCTCGCAGGCGACGGCCACGTACATGTGCACTTTTTGCCCCGTGACATGAGGGTGCACGGTACCGCGGCCGCGGTCGAAGATATTCCGCAGCAGCGTTAGCATCGGCACCGCGACAGATCGCGGCACCGTAGAGCACGAGCGTCGTCACTGCAGCCGAGTTCTGCCACACATCCCCTGGTTGCATTGTTCCAGTGCCAAATCGTTTCCCCGCGACTACATCGCTCGCCAGAATTGTTTCGTTCGCCATTTTGCCCATTCGAGCTCGCCACGATGGGCAGCACGGCTGTTGGTGTATTACAACGCTCTCTGCGCAGAACCAGGTTTGGCCAACTGTGTAACGCAGTAGGTTCGTGCCATTGCCCAATGGACGTTGCCAGCACCTATATGACCATGCCACGACAGGAGCCGTCGGACCCGAGACGTGTGAAGAGAGCTGAGCAAAACTTTCAGTTTCTTGCGCCCGTATTTTTCACTATTTCCGTCAGTCACACGAAAGGTCAAGGTGCCATGGCCAAAATTGGAGAAAAAAAGCCACACAAATAATAGAACTACGCGATGGCCGCGGTCTATTTTTTGGCTTTTTGGCTCTCTAAAAATTGCTTGGTTTTTTATGGAAATTGAAATGTTGAAAAACAACGTGACGGACGAGTGGACATTAATTTAGATATAAATAAAATCACGAGTACGTGCGTTGTTCAGCTCAACTTCAACGCGTTCTTTTTCGAACGCAAAAATGGCTCGATCCAGTCGGCAGCGTCGTGGACGGCGCAGTCCATCGGCGGCAGCGGGATGTCTTCGTACACAAAGTCATGTACAAGCACCTCGTCCAGCGTCATGCGGGTCAACGGGTTGGGATCGAGCATGCAACACAAGAGGTCGAGGGCTTCAACGCTGAACAAGCTCTCCATTCGCCAAGCCGACACAATCGCACGCAGGCCATACGTTTGAACAAAGTGAAAGGTTGGGTCGCTTGGGTGTGCCTTCTGCACCAACGGACTTCCCGTGACCATGATAAACAGCATCATGCCGAGGGACCACACGTCGGCGACGCCCGGCGCGTAGAACTGTTGACAGTACATTTCCGGGGCCATGTAGAACGACTTGCCAACGCCGCCAGTTTTCCATTCATATAGGCTCGCAGCCAAACCAAAGTCGCATAGTTTCGCTTGCCCGGTAGCATCAACAAGGACATTTTCGAGGCTCAGGTCGCAGTGGGCGTACCCGTGGCTGTGCATGTACTGGAGGCCGCACGCGACTTGTCGGAAATACGTTTGCGCGGTGGAAAGGGCGAGGCGGTCTTGAGCGCTGACGATGTCAAACAATTCCCCTTGCGCACAGTATTCAAGGACGAGGAAGTCGTGGCCGGCATGTTGAAAGTCATTGAGGAGGCGGAGGACGTTGGGGTGGCCGCCGTGGGCGCTCAACGCGCGCAAGACCTGCTTTTCCATCGCAACGTCTTCATGCACGACAATGTTTTCTTGGAGAGAGAGTTTCGCGCGGGACGCTTGCATGTTCATGCACTTGATCGCAACGGGTTGCTGCGTGTAGTTGTCCACACAGAGGAGGACGCGGCCAAAAATGGCGTTGGCAAGTTCACGGATCTGGGTGTACTGCGGCTGGGTGGCCGCCGTCCGCGTTGCCATGTGCATCATGCTGTCCGTGGCGCTTGGTGCAGTCGGGGGAATTCAGAATGACGGAAGCACCAGTCGGTGCGTCCTTGGCTTGGTCATGGGGATTGCACTAACGGCGTGCAGAAAACAGGTTGCATTTCGGAGATGCACCAACCGACCATATGACCCCATTTACGGTAGACATGTGGGGGGTCCCATCCAAACGGAAAACCCAATTGCCCGACAGTCCAAAAAGGGAGGGGAGGGGACCCCCCATGCCAAACCGACGCGAACCCCTCGCGCCAACGTGGTGGCGTTCGTTTCAGTTCAGTCGGCGGTGTGGGTACTCAATGGAACCTGAGCGGGAAGCCGTCGCCGAGTTGGTGGCTCCAAGCAACTGGCTGGCACCAGCGCCGCCACCACGTTCGTTTGGGCGTCGTGGCCGTACTCACACTAGCGAGCGCGCCCCTCGAAGCGTATTGCTGGCATCAGCAGTTGCCCCAACGTAGATTCGACGACACGTTGGATCGAAACGTAGTGGCGGCGCAGCGACAGGAAAGCGGAAGAGGGACGTCGGCTATAAATATATCCATGTTGTCAAGCACCGTGCACGCGATGAGAATCGTTCCACCGACCGAGAATCGTGGAACGACTAGATAGGATGTGTTGTACGTGGAAGAAAAGCTAGGGCAGACAAGGGGATGTGCAAGGCATCCTCCTAGTGGCAGGATGCGCGGTGGACGATGGCCTACCCGCCGCCGCTGTCGCACTGGGACGCGAGACGATGCCACAGACAGCCACAGGTGGCCCCAAGTCGCCAACTCTTTCCACTGGCGCAACCGGGTTGCACGTCGCGTGAAGCGCCCGTACCGTCCACGTTTGTTCGCTGGATGTCGATTCATGTCAGGGGTGAAGTGAACACTATAGAATACTAGACAACGATATCGTTTGTATACACATCAACCATACCCATAAAAATACAAGCGTTCTATATGCAAAACAGCATCTAGCCTACGTCATCACGTGACACGACCTCGACCCCCGCCATGTCAAACCCCGACGGATGCGACACGGGTGCCGTCGCGATCGACAAAATGCGCTCACGGGGGCCATCGCTTGGAAGCGGGCCGTTCGTGCGATGCCCCAGGCGTCGGCGAGCGCATCGTTGAAAGGTGGTTGGACGGGCTGAAGATGTGGCGTCCTCCCAACCCAATGACCGAGTTGGCGATTTTTGTTGCGATATATATCTGGCGACTGGAACGCATGCATAGAAGGGTGGCACGTCGTGGATTCGGTTGCATGGAGCCATCGGGAAAAGTTGCTGAACTGTCGATGTGGCTGGATGTATCTTGGTGAAGCCGCGCCTGGCAGCCGTCGTGATGAGTGGCTGAACTGTCGGGGCGACTGGACGAACGCTTGGCATGAGATTCGCATGGGAATTATGCAAATGCACTCGCCCTGTTCGCACTTCATTCGAGCCTTGGATACATTCACCTCGCATTCGATGCGACGTGACGCTGTCCATTCGAGGCATGATGTAGCATTCGAACCCGGTGGACCGCCGGTCATATTCGTCGCAGCTGCACAAGACTCGACTGTGCGCGCGTTTTGGGGTAGGCTGGGTCGTGTGAGACTGGAGCGTTCGATGCATGCGGGGTCATGTTGTCGATGGATCGGCATGCTCTCGAGGATGCACATGTAGAGACGAAGCTGTGAAGGGCAGAGTGACCATGGAGGTCCACGGCAAAAATCCCGATGGATTGCCACGAATGCAACGTGAAAATGCGTCGCAACAACTTCAAATGGCACGGTGGACATAGGCGATGGGGTCTACCGTTCGCGACGGAACGATGGAAAGGGGGTGCCAGGACACCCTTTCGTCTTGAGTCGACATGGAGAGCTAGATGCCGCTGCCTGCCCCCACACACCACGGGAGATGCGAAGCACGTCCGGTACTTCGGACATGTCACCGTCCACGGTATCGTTGGATATATGCCCCGAGCCGCGCCACATCCCCTCTGTAGATAAAGACCACATCCAGAGCATACATCGGGGAGGACACTGCATCATGGTTGGGCGGCCGCTGGCGTTGGAGGGGGATGCGCTCGCTCGAGATGTGAGAGGTTTCAATCGCCGCGATCAAGAAGAAAGCCTGCCTGAATTCACGGATGTCGACCTCGACATCTTACACCCAACGCTTCGTTGTTTCGACGTGGACCAATTCGTTCACGCAGCGTGCTATTAGACAATACTGGCCTCGCATATCCCCGTCCCGCAGAGACCTGCGCGATGAATGTTGCAACCGTGAAGGAGCCCGTGCGTTGAAAACCTCTCAACCCATCACTACTCGACGGGGGACACTCCAATTGTTTCCACGAGTGTCGATGTTATCACAAGGGCCACGTCTGGCATGGTTACACGAGCGGATCCGAGTCAGCACGCAGACACGTCAACCAGATATTCTCTTAACGTAATAATTGCTGTGGGCTACTTGCGTGAGTGCTGTTGGGGCTTCGGTGGTGTCCCCAACGTTGAGTCTTTTCTATGAGTGGATTGAGTTGGGTTTGATCGGGACAGATAGCTATGCCACAGCTACGTCGGTCGTACTTGCGTCTTCAGTCGAGGTCCTCCGCTGGGGATGAAGTCCAAAGGCCATGATGGACGCTGCTGCCATTCGAAATGGGCTCTTCTTTCGCCCTTCCCTTGCTCCATCGACTGCCTATTTCGACGTTCCTTCAATCGAGATGAAAGCACAGCAGTATAGCTCACCAAGGAACCACTGAGACGACGTATGAAGACACTGGTCGATCCAGTCAGGCGCTGCATGGCGTCCGTTGTGTCGGGTATCAAATTTGTACACGACGTGGAATGCACGAGGGTGTCAGTACTATGGTCTGGTTTGGCGGCACGGAGGTCGTCCAGAACTCGAGTCAATTTCGCCACCTCGCTTTCCAATTGTTGTACTTTCGCAGCATGATCGGCATGCACTGTCTCTGTGCAGACGATGGAGTCCTGAAGCGCCTTGAAGAGCTGGTCAAGCGATGCTTGAAGCTTCGCGTTCTCGCTGTGAAGGCTGGTCAGTTGGGCCGTATGTGCATCATGGACTCGCATGTAAGCCAATGCTGTGCCTGCGATCACTACAACCGGCGCGATCCATATCGAGACAATCGATGGAATGGACGAGGACCACGGCTCTTGAGGTGCCGCCATGGTTGGCTGAGCACTAAGGCTCACCTGGCCTCTCCTGGCGACTTCTTTGGGTCTTGTCCGGCGCAATGTAGGCATTGGAGACGGTGGTGTTGCGTTCTAAAGCCATGGATGTGAAGCCAGGAAGAGAATGGAGCGAATGTACTACTTGTTGGTCATGGCGCATTTTGTTCGATTTAGTCTGGAAAGACGTCACCGTAGTAGTTGCAATTACCACGTCATGAGAATGGAAGGCTGGTTCTGGCTGGAGCTCGACAGGGCCAGTTGGAAGAGCAGATTTTAGTGATGGCGATGCGAGGGTCGTCAGCTCTGAGTCCCCCGCGGTGTTGAACGCAGGCCCGAGACACAACGGCCACGGATCAGTGTGTGCCATTGACACTGAACTGATTGTGTGGTTACCATGCTCTTGATTGATGTGACACTGAGCGCTGCGTTCGGAAATGAGCGTTCGCGGCGGCTGGTACAACATCGTTGGCTGTGCCAGGGTTTGGCCGTCGTGGATAACAGTCTCGTCGTTGCGTTGACGATACTGGAGCCACGCCGTCGTTCGCGAAAACTCGAGCTTCAACGTCATCATGCAGCTGTCGCGTTGAGCGGCTGGCATTGGCGCGACCGTGTGGCTGAGGTAGTTGCAAATTGACGTGGCCATTTCAAGTGGTGACGACGGAACGACTGACCAAGTGGCTCTCTCGTCGTCGATGCGAAGGAACGAGAACTGATGCAGGGCATCCCATGCGCCCGAAACTCCATCAACTACAACGTTACATGTAGCTCGGGACAGACGGTGTTGAACGCAGTAGTTGCTTATGTGTTCCGCCATAGTTGTGGTCTCGATATGCGTCGGCCCAACTGGCAAAGGGACAACCAGTGGCGACTCACCAAAGAAGACAGGAAACAAGAGAATTTCCACAGGGTCTTGCACGTGAGTGGCGCATGCAGTTGCTGTGCACAAGACCGCGTGGCGCAGGATGTTTCGAGGCATGCCCTTGGATCTGGCAAAGATCGCAACGCAAAATGGCAAACTTTCCCTCCTGTTCACATGACGGATACAATACCCCAGTTATCCGGATTCCTTCCCATTCATCCACGTGTTTGCGTTTAACGTCGGTGCAGGCACCATGTTTTTGCGTTTATTCGTTTATAGAGGTTCCCTTCCTACTGCACGCCTCCGTAATATATCGGCAACCCTTGTGGAGGATGGTCAAGGCGTATCGTCATTGGACAATACAAACAGCCTCAGCGTTGCTCGTGATTGAAATGTTGGGCATTGTGTTCCTGAATTCCACAAAATATGCGGCCATGGTGGCGGCATTGTGACTTGACCACCTTGAAGGTCGGGCTACCGACATAGCCACATTACTACAAGGTCGTGTAATGTGTGCATTGCAACGAAATCTCGTCCGCGTAATTGGGGATATTCCTCAGAATTCGCCCATTTCTGGGGAAAATCACCAGCGTGCTTCATGGATTTCGTCAGTTCATCCATCAAAATTGGGATTTTGGCCCTGTTATCGAGGCTGGGTAGCCTACGACGTGGCAACGGATTTCCTGCGTTAAACTCGGTGCCTCAACATTGTACGCCAATCAAATCGTGGCATGGGAAACCAACATGGTGTTTGTATGGTGGAAAAACCTCTGTGAATTGATATTGCAATGCGCTTGCAGCAGGACACAGTCAGATCAGTCGAAGGGCACCCTCTACCTTCCCATGGCTTCGATGATCAAAAAAAGCGAGGTCATACGGCTGGCCGAAGGATGCAGATGGCCAGAGCTCAGGGCTTTGATAGAGAAAGATCCGAAAGCTGCCCAGGAGCGCGACCGCTTCGGCATGATTCCGCTGCACTGGGCGTGCACGGATCCAAACACCCCACAGGACCTGCTCATGTTGCTGCTCAAGGCATACCCTGCAGGCGCACGCGTGCTTAACAGCGGCAAGATGCTTCCATTGCACATTGCCATCAAAGCCCAAGCCAGTATCGAGTGGCTTCAGGCATTGTTGGCCAACTACCCCGACGCTGCTATCGCTCTCACCCCCACAAACGAAGACGTTGTGACGTTGGCAAAAAAGTACAGGTTACCGCCCATCTCGATCAACCTCCTGGAAGAGATGCGCGACCACGTCCAAAAGTCCGGCCATCGCCCGGGCTCGCATACCACGGATGAAGAGGCAGAAGGTGATGCCATTCCACCAACCATTGCATCTCATGACCTTTTTCAGATTTTGACGATATCCATCGCAACGACAGCATTCTTATCACAACGACGCGCTTTGATAAGGCGCGATCGCACTCGACGTCGTCTTCAGCGCGCCCAAATGATTCGTTTTCCTCCGAACACCTCCAAACTCTGCACACATCCCCGCCCGAGTTGGACGACCCCGCAACATCATCCCAAGCCATCTACGCGTCGACGGTGCCGCTTCCTCCTCGGTACTCCATCCCGATAACATGTCGTGACGTTATTCCTTCCCAACTTTAGATGGACCAACGCCCTCAACTGCCACATTTGCGCATCCAAGTTTGGCACATTCAAGAAACGTCATCACTGCCGGAATTGCGGTCAGTCCATATGCACCGATCATTCCGCGAAGCACAAGCTAAAGTTGCCCCATTTTGGCCTCATGACCCGTCAACGCGTGTGTGTGCGATGCCATGACATCTTGACGAACGCCCCCGCCGCTGCCTTGCTACCGCCCCAGGTACGTCTGCTGCGTCGTTGTGTGGCTCAGAGACAGTCTAGTTGATCCCTGGCGAGCCATCCACCACAGCTAGCGGATCGTTATCTTCGATCTCTACCTCATCAATCAAGCTGTTCACGTCACAACGCGGTGTGTATGCCCCGATCGGGTCGTCCCGCGCGCAGCATCCTGTGCCGATGAGCCAGCCGCCCTATCCATTGTACGCTTTCCAGCCTGCACAAGAGCAGTTGGTCCCGTCGTCTCAGCAGCCTTCTCTGCGGGGAATGAACTACGGCCACCAACTCGCACCATTTGCAGAGCCAAGCAAGGACAGCGTGATCCAAGATATGAACTTGCAAGTGCAGCTGCTACAACAGCAAGTGAGCAAACTTCTCGAAGAAAAACAACAGGTTGAAGATGCGCTCTTGATCACGCGGCGTCAGACGGCGGGTCGGTCGTCGTCGACGGCTGACGAAGTCGCCCAAGTTCAGAGTGCCGCCCATGACATTCCCCAACCCGAACCGGAGCAGTGTCGCGCTGTGCATGCCGACTACTTCCGGCCGTCGTGGGAGGAAGCCGCCCCCGTTGTATCGACCACTGCAGAACCGTCGGCCGAAGAAGAGCTGCGGCCTGTCGGTGGCGCCGCGGTGTCGGGATTCCGGGAAACATCGCTGACTGACCACGACGTTGCCCGGGACACGTATGCGTGCAACACATACGACGACATTGGGGTACTTGCTCATCACGTGCTCCATGATCCTAACGTCTTGACCAGGAATTCCGCGACTCGCGGTTTACGCTGGACGATCGTGATACGTTTTTCGACAAGTACGTGGCCCCCGTGGCGACTCGCCAACCAGCACTACTGGCGCCGTCGTCGTCGCAACTCGAGGAAGTGTCCGAGGCGGACGAAAGCGACGTCGGGCGCACGACCATCGCCGACGACTCGGAAGTCCAGCAGTACGAGCAACAGCATACAGAAAAGGACGGGAACATCTCCCCTGAAGACGAACATGACGACGACAATCAAGAAGTAGATACACTCCTCGCGTTGGGGGTCGACATGCTTCAGCAGGGATGTGCCAGCGGCGCTGTTGCCGCGTTTGAGCGCGCCGTCGAACTGATGCCCAAGGACCCGTTGCTGCACTCGTATTTGGGTACGTTTGTCGTGCTTCGAGGTGTTTGCACATGTAATCGCGTGGTCGAATACAGGGAAAGCGTGCTATGCCGACGAAGACGTGGACCGCGCGATTTCGGCCATCGAACGGTCGTTGGAGCTCGAACCGTCTGCGGCCAACTGGACTCTCCTTGGCAAGATCTTGTTTGAAAAAGGCGATCACGACAAAGCCATCGAGGCGTATCAGCGGTCGCTCGAGATGCAAAAGCGAGTCGGGTAGTTGGCACAGTGCTAACTATTTCTCGGGTATCATGACGTTTGGTCCTCTCTTTCGCGTTGGGAAAGCGCCGGACAGTCGCATGCATGTGGACCAACTCAAATATCCGTCGTATGAACAAATAGATATTGCATCACACGGTCGCGGCGTACGAACTCCGAGTGCACAAGTCGACGAGAAATGTGTGGCTGTTCTCCGGCGCCCGGCGCGTGCTCGATCCAAGCGCCACGGGACGACCCGCTTGTACATGGGTCCACAAACTAGTCGTCAACATCATCAGGACTTGATCGTTGTCCCCCTCGAACGACCATGCTGTCATACCTCGCCATGGTGGGGAATGTCTTTGCTGCATGCAGAACAGTTGCACGACCGAGCTTTGGGACTTGCATGAGCATCATTTGGTGGATCTCGCCCACGGTGAGTACCGTTTTTTTGCGCGAAGCCGCTTGGAACTCGCTGTGTGACTGCCACGTCTGCGGCACGACTTGGCTATGTGATGAGCATCTCAAGTACACATGAGCCCTCCCGTCGACAGCCAACGTACGTAAAGTCGTGGAGCGGACGCGGCAGCGGCGGAAACAACCAAGACGTTGGCCGGGGGTTCGAACACCCCAACGTCGTGTGGAATGCATGGACGATGTGTCGATGGAGGGAAGCTAAAAACCCCACCGTTTCATCGTGGGACGTCCCATGGTACACGAGAAAATTGTGCTGCACCTACGAATGCACTGAATAGCTCAGCGTCGAGATATTGCTCATCGTCTGTGCCACGGACCTGGGTGCGAGTCATCGCAGTCTGCAGCCCTCCACTTCGAATACACGTCGATTGAGACTCGAACGAGCCTTCGACGAGGTAAATGACGTAGCGCAGACCCGTCTGCTTCAGGCGAGCCTTTTGTTCTGTGTACCTATGAAAGCGCTCACACGCTGGTGCGCAGCAGCCAAGCATTGGAATTACCGCTTGTCCATGATACTGCTGGCCAAGTCCGACACATTCTTCCGCTCGACCACCACCTCGAGAACGTATTCTTCTGGTTTTCCTAGTCAAAGCAACTATGTCCCTCGACAGATTACGCGCGGCGATGCCCGAACCGTTGAGCAGACGCGTGGGGCTCCGGGCAATCCAAATCATGTCTCCAATGTTGAGCGATCGCACTTCGCACGCCACGTTCGCCTCGAGTAGTTTTCGTTCAAACACAGACCGATTCGTCCGTGAGATCATCTAAGCACACTTTATGTGAGGGGGCATAGAGGGGCGCTGCTCACTTCGCGATGGTCCAGGAGCAACACGATCTCCCACAAGTCGTCGCCCGGATTGGGTTCCACAGGCCGTGATGAACAGACCAAACCAGACAGGTTCGTTGAGGACCAGTCAAATGGAGGGGGTCCGTCGGCAGCCGTGGTTCTGGGTTCTGCTGGAGTCGCGGTCACACATGCCATCACGCTTCGGATCCCTGTGATGAGGTGGAATGAATCAATGGTCAGAGAGTAACATGCGAATTCGAGAACCATTCAATGATAAATAGTACAACGCGCTGTCCGCTGTCTTGGCTACAACTTCCTGGATGCTGATTAGTCCTGACAAACGTGCCGACAGCTGTGTCGTGGTGCCTTCGAACTGCGCCAGCCATGAGGTGCATGCATTGGAAGCATGAGGAGGAATCGTACCCCCAAATGTTTCATTTCCGTGACCATCGTGCTCAAATCGACGGCACGGGATGCGGACGTGGCGCCGATGGCCCACAGCGCCATGATGACGTACCACGGCACTGTTGCACAGTTGCGAGTTCATCAGCTCATAACGTCCAGTACCGATGGAAACGTACACTTTCCCTTTGTAGGCTTGTAGACTTTTGACAGGTCGCAGTTTGGCGGGTCCTCGGGATGTGTTGTAGATGGTGTAACCTTTCGCTTTTTCGATGCTGACGTTTGCTGGCGCTGGGCATTGTCTGGCGGTGGGTGTCGATTCAAGTCTTCGCTATACGTTGCGACAGTCTCCAGACGAATCAATATCGCATGGATCTTTTGTGCAATGAAGTTGCCGACGCCACGCAAACTTTTAGCTTGGGCGCTGGATTGAATCACCTCGGGGTGGTTTCGAATCGAGGTCAGTGCTCGTTGGTACGACGACAGCTTGTGGTTCACTTGGCCTGGACCCACGCGACGGTTGGACTTAGCAGCTTCTTGCTCAATGATCTTTTCCATTTCGAGCACCAGCAACTCGTTGCCCGGGTGCACGCACTGCCGTGGCATCGCCGCGCCTGCCTGCCAACAGCAATTCAAATTTCGAGTTGAGAGGTACATATCCGGATACTGCTGCTACGGGTACAGATGGAATCAACGAAAACGCCAATCAACTCCTGGTCCTTGGCGAGCTCGATGCAGCCGAGTGCACACCAACTAAGGGTACAATGTGCTCACGAGGACATGCGCATTCGCTTTGTGCGCTACGTCTGCTTTGCAGAGAACTGCGCGAAGTTGAGGCAACATCGCAGAGGAGGGAGCAGCACCCCTGCAGTCGCCTTGTGCTGAGTCAATTGGATGAACAGGATATTTTGAAACGGTGAATATTAATACAAACTTGGTGATCTTCTTACTAAATGCAAGTTAGACAAATATATCACTAGACGAAATAGTTTATAACGTATGACCACTGTTTTGACCCTTATCTCGTCGGCGGATTCGAATTTCACGGGATATGCATATCATTGCCGCCTTGGCCAGCTGCCATGGCGTCGATAGAGGCGTTCTTGTCCAAGGTACAGCGACTACATCTACGTGACTGCATGCGACTTGTGACGGCATCCGCGAGTAGCTCGACACGTGCGAGGAGTGGCTAGGGAACTCCAGGAGGGAGTGGACCAGTCGTGTGGCATGCATGAGACAACTTGAGGGGATCGCGACCGCGCTGCCCAGTGACTCCGCGATCCCTGCCAAGGCCCTGCACAAGATCTGTTCGATGGCGGTGAGAAGAATCTACAATGATATTTGTTTCCATATCGTTGATGGTTCACCTCGCAATGTCTCGCTGCAGGACGCATTTCGAATCGAGTTGGCCGACTGCCATCCCGCTGTCGTCAAGCAAACTTGTAGCTTGTTGGGAACACTGGCGTCGACCTGCGGTGCGTCGTTCACAAGCGTCACAGAGGCTTTACTCGTTCCCATCTTGTTGATGGCGACCAAGAAGAAACAAACGCAAGTGATTGCGATGGCCGCGCGGCAGTGCTTGCACAGCATGACCAAGTCCAGTCGGTTTGCCATCGTGCTTTTAGAAAAGACGTACCAACATGCGAAGCGAGGTATCATTGCCGCGGCAACGATGACTACTTATCACGCTTCGTTTAGACGAGAACCTTCGCATGATGTGCATGTCGCTCGTGGTACTCGTGCTGCGTTACTGGGACGCAGATGTCGTGCTCACCAATGACGCGTACACTCCGCTTTGCCGCTTTATCATCAAGGCGCTGGAAGATGAACACGCGGCTGTTCGAACGCAAGGGCGCATGGCGCTCTGCCTCTTGTGCGAGTACGGGTAAGCCGACCCCTTCTCTTGACTGCGTGTGATCTTGGCTAGCATGAGCTCGACCTTGCTGGGATACGACGTTGATGGCTTTGCGGCAGGCACGAGCGCTTTGCGGAGCTTCTCGATATCGTGCCAACGGACACGATGGATGCGATCGTGGCAGAGTTCCCGGAGTCTCTCCTGACCGCGACGCGACGGCAACTTTTACTTGCACCCCCTGAACATGACCCAAATCTTTTGCCTGTCATTCCTGAGGTGCACGAGGATGACAGCGACGAAGAGAGCGGCATCAGCTCGGAGGATCTATCGCACGTGCTGATCGTACCGAAGTCGTACTGGTGCAATTCTCCAGCGGCCACTTCCCCCGATGACAGTCGTGCATCTCCAATACACGCACTTGACAACACCACGCGCGATGGAAACTCCAGTTTAACAGAGTCATGGGTCGATCGCCTCGACTGGAGTCAGTTCAGCGACACCAGTTCGACCAAGGACGAGAATGTGCAAGGCCGCGCGGCGTCCATGGTGGCCTCACCCGTTGAGCATGATCGAGAAGGCAGCGAAAACGTTGCAGATGAGAGCTTTGACGATGAGCAGAAGGATACCATGCCCACTTCGAGCGATTTTGCCGAAGAAAGCGACCGCGATGATATCGCATTGTCCCAAAGCAGCGATGAATGGAATGGGTCTGAAGCTGACTTAGTGGATGGGAAAGTTGACGTTGAGGGTGCCATTTTCGGTACCGTCGAGTCGGTCATGTCCATGGATGAATGGCTGAAGCACAATCGCGACGAATGCGGCGGCAGTGTGATCAAGTCTCCCACGAACCGAACGAGTAGAAGCAGCGCCAGTAGCCACATCGATAGCCACGACGGGCTCCTGGCTACGCCCTTGGACGTATCGCCAGACTTTGCCCAAGACAAAGGAGAGAGCCACGTCACAACTTTGGAATATAACTACGGCGCCGATGACATGAATGCGAGCAATAATGATGCCCCCTTGAATCCTGTCGTGAAGTCCCAAGAGGAAGCACTGACGACCCCTCGTGAGATCTTATCTGTCACGCCAGCGCCAGCTCCTCAGCTCACTTCCTTGGCGACGCAAAGCGCCCCCAAGACGCCAGTCCATCTATTCCCACACAACACACCATCCCAACGTTGGCATTCGAGAGTTTTGCCTGAAAGTACTACCACCCTGAGTCTCAATCGAACACCACCACTTTCACCGACCCCGCCGCCGCACGCCCGCCCTGCATCGGGATACCGATCGATTCGGTTTGCAACCGCTTCGTTTACTCCGTCGCCATTTTCTTCTACGGGGGAATCCGACATCACAGCGAACGCTTCGACAATGCCGTCGCCTTTGACGATCCAAATCGACTCCAGTCGCGTCGACACAGCTCTACCTCAACCAACGCAACGCGTCGAGCAAGAAGGTCGTCGTTCCGCAGTTCCGTCGTCCAGACGAAGCTCCATGCCACTACGTCGTGGGGCTTCCTCCTCCGCAACGTCCTCAGTGACGGAGACTGTGCTTCCACCGCCAAGACCTCACCCGATGCCATCCATTTCGGCGACTGACGCGCAAACGCTCGAATCAACTCTCGACTCGATTCTCCATTCGATGGACACACTGTCGTCCAAACTCACACCTACCAAACAACATGGTTGTCAGCGTATGCAGGGTAACAACCCGTGGCTCATGGGGCCTCCTCCACCGCACACTGTCGCGGCTCCTCCGGCCGATTGCCAGCCCCTGCCCACATTGATGTCTCCAGCGCCTGACGAAGCACCGACGCTCGATTCGACGGCAAACGCCATCACCACCTCAAGCACCGCCGAGCTCATTCCGCATCGCCTGGACGTTACTCCCATCGCCCCGATTCAGTCTCAACCAGCAGCACCTCGTGCCCTGAACAGAGCATGGGACACAGTGTGCTCGCTGCTTTGGGTCGCCAGTCTAGTGTTTGCAGTACGACTGCATGACACGATAGCGTTTTTGTTCATGGCGATCCATTTAGGTCCTTGGCATGAAGGGTGCCATGGAGGCCCACATGACGCACGCTTCAGTCGTCCCGCGTGGTGACCACCCTTTGAATGCCAAGGCGCGCCTCGTTGCACAGTTTGACGACTCCGCGACCGAAACAAGCAAGCGCCTCGCGCGCTTGGAACAGGCGATTCATGAATGGAAGGCTGGCGTGGCGGTCACACAGCATCAGATGCAAGTCGAGATGGCGGCAATGAAGGACGACTCGACATCGATGGAATGGACTCCTGTTGTGGCTGCGCTGCGCCGTCAGTTGGACGACGAGTTGGAAAAGATTGCATGCCACGCACCATGATAAATACGAATGTTACACGGACGCGATTTTGACGTGGGACGTGATCCATGGATGGGTCACGATCAGCTCGAGCGGCAATCGATGGGCAGGATCTTTGCGCAAGATGCGCCCCAGGAGGTCCCTCGCCTTGATCGACACATGCGGCGGATACTGCAAGTTGACGGCGCGAATGCGGGCGTACGTGGATGGCGTGTCGTTCGCTTCGAACGGCGGGGTGCCAACCAACAGCTCGTACATGAGGACGCCCAACGTCCAGACGTCTACCTAGTGGTTCCACCCATGGTCAGTCGACGTTTAAAATGGTAAATCACGGTACCCGTTCGTCATGCGGCTGATTCTCCACCATCTCGGGGGACAAATAGTCCAAGGTGCCGCACAGAGTTCGGCGGCGCACGTTGTGCGAAGCGACAGACCACCCGAAATCGGCTAGTTTGAGCTCTCCCTGCGAGTTTTGTGAGTTCGCCATTGTACTATTCATACATCCAAGATACAGTGACGGTGGGACCATCCGTGAAAGACCTTCGTACATTGTAGCCCAAGAGCAGGTTCTCCGGCTTGAGGTCGCGATGGATGATGTGACGCTGGTGCATGTAGAGCAGCCCGTTGGCAATCTGGGACACGTAATTCGCAGCGACAGATTCGCTGAATCGGCCAACCTCTATAAGCTTTTGGTACAGTTCTCCTTGGGGGGCGTATTCAATGATGAGGTAGATGCGCTTGTCGTCGTAAAAGTAACCAAACAGTCGGAGAATATTGGGATGGTTCAAATCGGATTGAATCTCGATCTCTCGACGGAGCTGGTGCTCGACGTTGGCTTTCCGGAGCTGGTACTTTTGCAGCACCTTGAGCGCTACAACGTACTTGGATTCCTTTTCGCGGGCCAAGTACACGTTGCCAAACTTGCCGCGACCCAACGGCCGCCCGATTTCAAAGTCCGTGAGTTTCCATACACGGTCAGTCGATTCCGCCTTGACCGTTTCTGCCTCGTGGATGCGCCGCTTTGATGCAGGTGACCGTGGTCTTGACACCGCCTGGTCCTTGGTGTCCATCGCCAGGGAATGGTTGTTGCGGCTTGTCGTCATGTCGTCGCTCATGTACGACGTAGACGTGTTCATGTCAGCGCTGCATGGGGACGCCGGGAGAAGGGAGCTGATCATCCTGTTGACCGGGTAACTGGACGAACCTGGTGGACTTCGCGGCCTGCGTTGTGCCATCGTCGTTGCCGTCGTGCGACCTCAATGTTAGCTTCACATGTTATCCGGATAACAAAATTCACCGACGAACTTGATTGGACACATGTCGATAATCGTTCAAAAATTCAAACAAAGCAAAGATTTTCATCCGGATAAGCCAGCACCACCTCGGCAGCAGCAACAGCATCGCCGATGAGGGCACCTTCGTCTGCGACGGACTCTGCGAAACCAAAAATGCGAAGCGTTTGGGGCCGCGACAACAACGCTGGTGGTGCAGTGACGTCTGTGCTGGAGCGAGTCGGGCCATCGTCGTCTATGTCCACGTCCAACTCGCTCAGTGCGTCGATCTTCAAGAAGTACCACACAACGACATCGTCCACGCTCGCGTCGTCTGCGCGATCCTTGCATGCCTCGTCCTCTTCCTCGAGAACATTGGCATCTGGAGCATCTATCACACAATCGTCGACGACCATGGCACGTGCGGGAACAGGAGCGCTTTCTACCGTCGCCGAGAATCAAGTTGCCACGTCGCGTACCTCGACGGCAAGAGCAGCATCGACCATGTCGTTGGTGACCACCCGCGAGTGGAAGCTGAGCGACTTTGACATCGGTCGACGCCTTGGTCGCGGCAAATTTGGCAGCGTGTACTTGGTTCGCGAGAAGAAGTCGCAGTACATCGTGGCGCTCAAGGTGCTGCAAAAGGCTCAGCTGAGCAAGGCGAACGTCGAGCACCAGCTTCGCCGGGAGATTGAGATTCAATCACACTTGCGCCACAAAAACATCCTGCGGCTCTTTGGGTACTTTTACGACGAAAAACGCATCTACCTCATCATCGAGTTTGCCGCCCATGGCGAGTTGTACAAAAAACTGCAAAAAGCCGGGCGATTCTCGGAAGAGCGGTCAGCGCGTTACGTCCGCGACATTGCGCTCACGCTCGCGTTCATGCACAGTAAGCACGTGATCCACAGAGACATCAAGCCGGAGAACCTGCTCATCGGCTTCCACGTATGCTCAACCATCCCATCTTCCTTCATCCTCACGACTTGTAGGGAGAGCTCAAGTTGGCCGACTTTGGCTGGTCCGTACACTCGCCCACATCTCGCCGCAACACGCTGTGCGGCACCTTGGACTACTTGCCGCCCGAGATGGTCGAGAACAAGCCGCACGACGAAATGGTTTGCAACCATTTAGCTTCGATTGTCTCGGTGCTTCGATGCGCGAATCCTGATGGCCTCTGTAGGTGGATGTGTGGACGCTAGGCATCCTCATGTACGAATTCCTTGTGGGCACGCCACCGTTTGAAGGGGAAGGCACAACCGAGACATACCAGCGCATCACAAGCGTTGACCTGCAGTTTCCGCCCCACGTATCGGCGTTGGCGAGGGACTTGCTCACCAAGATCTTGCGAAAGAACCCACAGGACCGCCTGGCACTGGATAAAATCGTTCAGCACCCCTGGATCACGCGTCACTGCAGGAGTAGCACGAGCGGCCCCGTGACCTCATGAAACCACGGCCTGTTGAGTAAATAAGTACAAGTAAACGTGTCGCTGCGCCAAAGCGGGGAAAGTGTGCCGAGGCAGCCATGGCACGACAGTAGCGTGTACGTCGCCAAACTAAGCAGACTAATGTGGGAACGACGTCGTGCCAGAGGAGCAGGCTCCTCGAAGCCGAGGTGGCGCTGTATGTAGTGCCATGAAGGGGACGATGGCGTCTGCGATGACATTGTGTAGGATGGATGAACAAGTTAACAAAATCCTTACGACGAAGTACTGGTCGGAGGTGCAGTCTTCTTGGTAACGTCGTCACCGTCACTCTCGGTATTCGTGGGCGGTGACGGGAGTGGTGCTTCCTTGGCGACGTTGGCGGCATGTTGCTTCATGTGTTCGGCGACACGCTTGTGTTTGTCGAAGAATTCACTGTCGATGGCGTGCATGTTGGCATACTCTTCGATCTATACGAAGCACCTTCCAAGTTGTGGCGCATCGAAATGTCGAGTCTGTGTACCTGATAGTCGAGCTTTTCTTTCTGTTGCCGAAAAAGGTCGGCTTGCATGTACACGTTGGCCTTGGTCATTTCGAGGTTTTGTTGCAGCGCAGCGTTCTTGACACGCGCGGCTTCAAGGCGCGAGGACGCTTCTTTGTACGCGTTATATTGTTTCATGTACGCTTCTTTGTTGGTAGACGCCATCATCTCGCGCACATCGTTCGCGATCACGCGGGCGAGCGATGCGCCTTGCCCCATCTTCCCTAATGAAATTCTCAACCTAGAATTGCCTCGACCAATCACAGGCGCGCTTTTGGGTCAAGATTTCGTCGTTCCATTTTCCAACACGACAAGCATCGCCATGGTGGCGGTGCCGCCGGAAGCGAGGCACCGAGAGCTGGAGGCAGCGCAAGAGGCGCTCAAGGCGAGGTGAGGACTTTCTACGGCACTCTAGAGGTGGAGGCATGACGCAGAGTCGTCACAGGTTACGTGATATCGATCCCATTCACCTTCAACACAGACAAGCGTTCATTCAAAACAGCCTTGCAGACGTATGTGCAATGGAGATTCCGAGGCAGACGATGTTATGGGGTGTTTGCTAGGCAACCAAGATGCATAATGGGGTGCCGCCTTTCCTGCAAAATCTCGTCGAGGAACAAAAGAAGGACGAGGACATTTACGACGTACGTCGATGGTCCCCGCGTCATGGAATCATGGATGGATAGCAATACATCCGGGACGCGACGTTGCACAACCAACGAGCGATTCGATTCCAACAGCAAATGGGTGGGTGCTTCTCTCCCGTGTACGAGTGAAGCGCCTGATCGTCGTCATGGCACGTAGAGTCGCCGTTCGCATCGTTGCCTGTACTAAATGATCGATTCGCGTTGGTCGAGCTTCTCGGTGTGAGCACATCGAAAGTTGAAGTGTGGAAAGCCGCCGACACATACGACAACAATTCGCTCGTGACACTCAAGATCTCGTCGGACCATCACATGATAGCCTACGACCACAAAGCGTTGGCAGTACGACCTCTCCCTTCATTCGCGAACCTCTCAACTCTCACGCGCTCCACTGCGCCAGCGAATCGATGTCCACGACACTGTCGTTCGTGTTTTGCGTGATGGCGTCCTCACTACGACCTTCCAAGACACACAGTACTCGATGTATGGGCTAAAATACATGGATAGCAACCTGGAAACGATCCTCCTGGTACGGTCGCCAGCGTTTTCAACGCGCCGTTGGGGATGGAATTCATGCGTGGTTTGTAGGGCTGTCCCAACGGTCGACTCCCATTTCTCATTGCCGAAGCCGTGGCGTTTCAGGTCGCTCATTGCATTCAGCACTTGTGCATTGAGGTATATCTACTCGGACTTGAATCGAATGTCCCTCTTCGATGTTGGTCGTCGATGGCAGGCTCGAGTTGCGCACTGCGACATCCGCCCCGCCAACGTCCTCATCACGCAGCCATGGAATGTCGCGGTATGCAATTTCAAGTCGTCGCGGAGTCGTCGGGAACTTCTCCCGACGATTCCACACCACAAAGTGAATGAAATGGACGCATCCTGCGTACTTTACGCCGCGCCTGAATATTTCAACTGCCTCGAGGCCCTCGGCAACACCGTGACATGCGACACGGCAGACGTGTGGGCGCTCGGCGTGCTCTTCTTTGTCATGATCTATGGCCATCATCCGTTGGTCCCTGGGCTCATTGTACTCGACGATGCCATGAAACTTTCGTTTGTGGACCACCTGCGCAACTACAACGGGACAATCTCGTTTCCATCCTTCCCCAGTGTCCCTGCCTACACACAGGTGAGTCTCCCTACGCTTCTCAAACGTCAGTGAGCATGGATCGGGCCACGTGGTAGCGCGTGATCCAAGCGTGTTTGGAAAAAGACCCCACCAAGCGCCTGCAGAGCGAAAGCCTCGTCACAAGCGGATTCATTCAACGAGGAGGAGGCGAATGACTCGATTCATGGCCGTTGGATGGTTGAGTAGTATTGTTGCGCCGCTGTAGCTCGTGGTGCCAGGACATGAAGGCTGAAATCATGTAGCTACCACGGCAATTCGTTCCTTGATACCCTCCGTGACGAGATGCTCGTGATCCGAGGACGCAGTGGTTGGGATTCCATGGTGCGTTTGACTTTGGTTTGGTGTTGGCTAGGAGCGCCAGTCGTAGAGCGGTGACGGCAGGGGCTTTTGCATTTCCCAGTAAGACGGCCCGGCGCAGTAGATCGCTCCACCGCCAAAGCAAAGCCCGTCGTCTCGATACAGGACAAGCGACTGTCCTGGTGCGAGGCCCCGTTGGGGAATGTCAAATTCGACTTTAAGAAACGTCGACGACGTCGGCAGTGTCTGCCGCATCGGGTGCAACGACGTCGCATCCAGGTCGTGAGCGATCGTGACAGTGCACGCCGCAAGGGGCTGGCGGTACCGCGCTCGGTAAAAACACCGAAACGTTGTCGTCCCGTTGTCGGCAAAGCCCTGGAAACCCAATTTGAGTTGCCATGCATCCACAAAGCGTGTTCGTACACTTGGGATTTGATGCGGCGGCACGAGCCAGTTGAACGCCGAGGCGTCGACGTAAGTGTGGTCGGCAAAGAGCGCTGGGTGGTGCGTGCCTGGTGCAATCAGAACCGCCGCATCTTCGTCTCGCTTGCCCACCACAAACCACTTGATCGACTGCCCAGACACTTTGGCCCCTTGACCGATCGTATACGAGCTGAACCCGTCGTGTTCGTGCATTACAGCGTTCGACTCGACCTGCATCACATGCATGATCCATCCGCTGATGCTGGGTGGGGAATCGACCGACCGATACAAAGTGCCCCTTTCGTGGAGGCACGTACTGTGCCAGGAACGTCCCGAATGGTCGCTTCCCGATGAAGCAGATGCCCATGCTCTCCTTGGCCAAGGCGGTACTGAGCTTGGCGGCACTCGCGATCTGTCGCACTTGGGGCTTCGTATGCGCCCCCAGTGGAAACCGCACCTATGGAATAAAGCCACGAGTGATGCCGACGGGCATGCGGCGCTTCGAGCGCGAATGGAAGATGGAATCGGTCGGCCAGCACCTTTTGAAACGCGGCCAACGAGACGTGCGATAGAAAGTACGTCTGGTCTTTGTTGGAGTCGGCGGCAGCAAACAGACCGAGCACGCCGTTCCCGTTGCTTGGACTGTCTGGAAGCGCAGAGGAGGGAATGGGAAGCAGCTGTGCGTAGTGTCCGGTCGCGATGAAGTCGGCACCGATATCCTTGGCATGATTCGCAAACGCGTCGAACTTGATTTCGCGATTGCATAGCACGTCGGGGTTGGGCGTAAACCCCTGAGAGAGGATTAGATTGCCGGAGTGACGCACGGCGGTGGACGCACCTGCGCGTACTCATCCAGGCATGGCGCAAACACATTGTTCCAGTATGTTTGGACAAAGTCGACCCGGGAGCATGAAATCCCAATATCGCGACACACCTGACGCACAGACTCGTACTCCATATCGGCGGGACACGTGGCTTGGCCCTCTTCGTCGGAGCAGTCCCAGTTGTTCATGTACAATCCGTGGACTTCAAGCGACTTGTCTTGGTGCAGGAGATAGGCCGCGACGGAAGAGTCCACGCCGCCAGACATGCCAACAACAACCTTCTTCTTTGAAGAGGACATCATTCCTCGGCGGTGAAGCACGGACACACCCGCCGCCGCGGCTCGGAGAGGAAGGTGTTGCATCGTCCTCTCGATCGATTGCAATTGCTTGGATAGTGCCTTTTGATTGGATCGATGCTTGGAGTAGTTCCATTTGATTGGTTGATTTCAAAGTCGAGCACAGGATTGGACGAAAACCGAAACAAAGAGATGACCAAGAAGCACCAGCAACACCAGCACCACCACCGCAAGGCAAAGCGCCATCGGCCCCATGCTCGAGCTGCAGAACCGAGCTTGGACTTCCTTGAAGCCCTAGAGGCACAACGAGCCAAGCAGACAGATGCAGCTTCGTCAGCATCTTCAGCCTCACCACGAGCGATTGCTGACCCAGTGACAGCTCCCAAGGTCATCCCGGGCTTTTACTTTGACCCCACCAAGAAGAAATACTTTCCTGGAAACCCGCCTCGACAACCACTTGTAGCACCTCAAGATACAGCAGCTCTTACCGCGGCGCGGAAGGTTCTCTCATCTATTCACCATCTCAGGCGGCGTGAACTCGGTGGGTGCCTTTATCAAGGCCACATGGACCTCCTTCAGCTGCTTCAACGCGTACGTGAATATCTGTCTCGTTTGCCATCACTCGACGCTTTCGCATAAGGCTCCTCGCCTGAGCAATCATATCCTTCCGCTCGTTGCTCCCGTCATTCAAGCTGTGTTCTCTACCGCGGGGCAACAGGTTACCGTTGTCTGTACGTCCGCTGGCAACATGGATTCTCCACATCTCACGACTTTCCAGGTGATGACGGACACCTACGCACGCTGCGCCCACAACCGAGCCGCATGAGCCCCCGCTCTGTCCTTGACGTCGCCGTGGCATCTCGTAAAGCCTCCTACGCCAATGTACCCCTCCGCCCTTTCAATGGCATTTCTCACGCTTCCGTGTCGTAGGTCCGATGCGTTCGCTATCAAACGGGCAAAACCTTTGCAGATGCTTGTATTTCCGTGACCGCGCTCGGTGGAGCGAACAAGCCAGGGTTCTTAAGTGTTTTGAGCCCGTCGACGCTTTCCCCGATTTACGTACGATCGAGTCACCTCGACCGTACCTGACGTTGCGGTGCGCACTAGAAACTCAAAGTCCGCGACGGGTGGCATCACGTATGGTAAGTGCATTTCCAACGGCGCCATGTTTCGCATTCATCCATCGACTCAACTGCACGGTCGATCGATCGCAGGCATGCCGAAGGCAATCAAATCGCACTGGCCGCGACATTGGTCGCCAGTCGTTCACGTGTACACGTTGTCGATATGGTGCATGGCTTGACGCTGCACGCGCCCGCTGCATCCAACATTCCACCGTCGGATGTGTTTGCTCAAGCGTATCAAGCTTCCACTTCCGTTCTCAACGGCACTCGCAGCGGCCACGTCTGGCTCTGGTGTGTTTCCAAACCTCGTGAACATGTATGTATTCAACAACGTTAGGGACTTGCGGTCGGAGAAGGCGGCGTTTGTCCAGTCCATCGTGGCAAATCCTGCATCCGTCTGCGCCTTGGACATCCTTTCCGACAGTTGGTCCATCCTGGCAGCCACCACGGCGGGAGCTGTCCATCGGTGGGACCTGCGGCGTCTCGAGCGCCCTGTCGCGACGTACTGTGCAGAAGACCCATCCCATCGCCACGACCGCGTCGTGGATTTTGCCGTGGTAAGTTGGCCCATATCGAGGCATCCTCGTTGGAGGAACTGGTCAAGGGAGAACGATGGATGACAGCATCAACTGGTCGCTCTGACACGTTGGCTTCACTAGTCCAAACACGAACAAGTTGTCGCAGTGTCGAGAGATGCTGCCGTGAAGGTGTGGTCGTTGCGCCAGAGCAGCCCTGTGGCGACTGTGGCACTGGCAGGCCCGGTCGTCTCGATGCACTGGTCGGATCCTCACGAAGACAGACGTACGTGGACGACGAACGGCGGCGGACTCCAGCTGCATGTGTGCACACCGCGCGCAGTGCACACGATCGAGTATGGTACAGAATGTTAAGTTAAAAAGAGCAGTAGACTCGACGCGAGGACAAACGCGGCGACGCCAACGATGCTATGGGCTTCCTTACTTTGGATGTGGCTGTTGGAAGCCGAGAGCTCGAAGTTCACGCGTGCACATACGACGGGCGGACTTGTGTCGCCGCACACAGCATGCAGCACGATGCTCCATCGCGGGGTGACGAGACCATACGCTGGAAACGGGACATTCTGCCAAGACTGGGAGATGCGACCGTCTGGTTGAACAACAAGGCGACCGAGGTGTTGGGACAGGTGAATGCTTTGTCGAGGGGACGGAGGCTTGAGCGCTGAGTTGACAGAGTCTGCGCACGAAGACGGGGAAGACTCCAAACAGAGCGAGTCCGCAGATTCGTCGGTCAAAGAATCCTGAGCGACAGCATCACAATCGACGACGTGGGATGGTGCGTAGAAAGGGTGGGTACCTTACCTCGTCTCGAAGCGGTTGCTTGTCCATGATGTTGCACTTGTCGAGAAACCCCACGAGCGGCACGACACCGACTTCGTTGACGACGAGGTACCATTGGAATTCGTGGATACGTGGTTCGCATTCGGGATGAAGCGCAAGGACTTTGGTCATGTTGAGTGCGGACATGTCGATATCTGTCGTGATCGACACCGTCGGTGAGTGAGGGGTGTTGTACGTTACGTGGATGTTGCCGACAACACCCCCCGCTCGGGCCTTATCAAACGTGTACTGGACAACTTGGGCCGCGGCCGCGCCAACATGAGTCGCCATGAAGGTCACCACGTAGATGGTCAGCGCCAGCGCATGCCATAGCGAGCTCGCCCAAAGATGCATCGAGAAGCGCGGCAAGGTCGACGATGATGCGGCACACAGGGGACGTTTTCGCCACTCCAACGCTCGGGTGGGTGACGGCATTTAAATATTATTAGAACGAAATCCAAAATTAGACCTGCGTATTCTATTGCAACATTTTGTATTTATTTTGGCGTAACGGGCACACAAAGGAGGGAGGGCGGCCGTCGTGCCTTTGTTACACACCGACGGTGGGCGGCGCAAGGCGTCCAGGAAGTGAAAAAGGAGGCGCCATGACACGCTCCAGACGCTCACGGGCAGGTGCGTGCGGTGTCGTACGTAGAACGATCAAGAGCAAGCGTGATCTTCGCGCCCCTGGGTGGACATGGCCTCGTTGAGAATTCGGTCGGCAAAAGTCCGACCTGGAAACACATGCGGACTCACGACAAGACAACCATCATTACATTCGACTTGCTTCTTGAGCCCCAACCGAACGATATCCCCATGGCTGTACAAGTTTCAATCTGCCGACGACGATGCGACGAACGCACTCTCGGCAAATGGGTTCCATGCATGCTGCGCAGACGTGTGGAGCTTGAGAAATCCCAATGTCTTGGCGAGCTTGCGTCGTTCCCACGAGTTTAGTCCTTCCACACATAGCTCGCCGTACCGCAAGAAGTCCATGACATGGGCAAATGCCTTCGGGTCCAGATCCAAGAAGTACGCACCTACAACGGGGCATCAGCCGCTGGCTCGGCCCGATCGCGCCAATTACCGTCTGGTCGAGTAGGTGAAGTGAGCAGCATGTCGTGGAAGAACGAAAGCTCATGCTGCAGGAGCGTCGCCTTGGACGTCTCGAAGTACGTTCCGCCGACGTTCAGCTTGATTGTCGATGCCGTGGCGGCCGCGTGCATGAGTGTGGGGTAGACTTGGGATGACGAAGCAGCAGCAAGCGTTGGAACTTGAGGGGCAGATGGCATCACGGACATACTTCCCAGCGCTGAATGCGATGTGTTCTTGATCGAGAAGACAAGGCTTGTGTTGTTGTGTGGACGCTTCTTCGATCGAACTGAGTTGAACCAGTCGGGTCGATCGCGTTCGCTTAGTGAGTGCATTTGGGACAAGAATGGCGCACACCGCCGCAAGTGCCGCTCAACACAGGCCGTCTTATTGTGATGGACAACTTCGGTTTGACAATGCTTGCACGGAGCTCGAGAGCCTTCAGTTGCCAAGTGGGCATTTGCCTTCTCAGTAAAGACGGCCCAGATCGTGTGCAAGGGGCGTCCTTTCCTCGGTGCATTCTGCGATGCCGACGGGAGATCGTTCGTTGACGACACGGTTTGATTGACGGCGGTGGTCGACGTGCACGAATATGGCATCTCCGATGGCCGTCGTTTCTTCGCCACAAAGAATGAAGTATTTGGAGGGTAAGTTGGCGTGGGGGTGGTATGAGGCGATTGCGTTGTCGTCGTTCCTTGGGATTCTGTGGCGGATGTGTCGTGGGTGTTTGAAGGACTGCCCGTGCCGCTGCTGCCGTCGTCGTCCATGGTGGCGCTCGTTTGATCAACCTTCGAAAAGTGTCATAAAAATGAAAAAGAAAAAAGACAGAATGTACTTCTTGGACAACTTGGTATTTGTATCTAATTTAAAACCAATTAATAAAAGAAAATTGAGTGAAGGTCCTGAAATGCCCAACCTCACACCATGTTGAAACGGCGCGCGATCAAGTCGCCCGTGCGTCATCACCAGGGCGAACTCGAAGGGACTTCACCAGCGCCATGGCGTCCAGTCTATTCAAGGTGATGGAGATGTCGAGGCAATATTGCTTCTGCAACGTGTCGCTGTGCCTTGACGACGAGGGACAAAGCCACAGTCGTTGATCCTGCATCGTCAACGTATCCCACTGCAGCACACGGTCAGGCATCTCACCGAGACCGAGCGAACGAGTTCATCTCCCTCGACGGATGCTGACCTCGCACGGTGCTGCCAAGCGGTGGTGTCACAAGGGCACACTGCCCTGTTGTGCTTCAACTCAGCATGTAGTATGAATATTGTCCAGATCCGACAGTTGCTCGCACAAGAAAGCTCATTTCACAAATATCGACGTGAGAAGCAAGTGCATGACGATCCAGGGCATCAAAGTGAGGTCGCGAGGGAGAGGTGCTGCAGATCCGACCGCGGGCCGATTTTTTCGCCGAGAATCGAACCATCGCTGGTTTGGACAATGTCAGGTGCGCCATTGAGTTCCTTGCAGTGCTAACGCTGGTATTCTTGATGGATAGCCGGGAATGTGTCTGTACACAACGATCCGGGAGGTCGTGGAGAATTCCCTCGACGCTGCCGAATCCATCGGAGTATTGCCTCAAGTCGAAGTAACCATGTCCGCATGTGTTCATGCCAGCGCCTCTTGCCCCGTGCTTGTTTCATGTGTTTCCATGATAGAACGGATTAGGACGGCGCACCGCTCAACACGTCACGCCATATTCAAGTGAAGGCGCGTTTTGATCCAGGACTTATACACGAACCTGAAAGAGATGCGATCGAGGTTACGTATCTGTACACGCAGTTTTTGAATATTTTCAACGTGGTGCACTCCTTACACGATGCTAAAGGTTGATCGCAATGCTGAGTCGTATGAACCGAACGTCCTCGAGCACTCAAAATCCAAAAATGACGACGGTTGGGTCACGTATTGACAGAAACAACGATTGCGCATTCGGGCACTCCTTTCAGCAGTTGGCATCGTGACTCCAAGCGTTAAACCTTTTATGCTGGTATCACGATCGGCATGAATCGTCACGACAGATATGCGAAATTCGAGTTGAGCCATTTTATGAGCACTCAAAGGGAGTTCACGGCAGAATACGACCGTCGATCCGACCGCATACGTCCAACCGCCGAGCAAGTGAAACACCACCCGCTCGCCCTCACCGGCGTACTACTTTTGGCGCAAATGCTTTGTAGGCTTTGGTCCGTTCTGTTGCGACTGTGTGTGCTCCCATGTGGTGCAGAACGACGTGTGCAAGGAGGCTCGTGTTTTGAATTTCGAATTCAACACGCTGCCAAATTCGTTGGTCGTATGACAAGGTTGGTCCGAAGCGTGACAAAATTGGAGTTGTTTGTGAGCACGAAAATTCCGTTTAAAGGCACGGAGAGCAACGATATTCTAGTGCATTGACGACACAAACTATCAGGTATTCTCGTTTGTTGAGAACAGGCAATCATGGATGCCGCGGTCAATGGCGTGTCTAGTTGGTCGAGCGATACTTCAAAAGCGACCAGCAAGAACGCATGCAAGAAAATGCCCAACATGCATGACAATGCACGCAATGGCCATATCCATCGCACCTGTGGACGATGTAGCATATACCCAACGTGGCGGTAGAGCTGAAGTGCTCGAACGGATGAATCATGGCAAACGGACCCCACCAAGGCTGAATCGTTGGCTATGTTGAGCTCAAATCATTGTCACATCCTCCACGGGATGGCGGACGAAGACGTTTTTGACAACATGTCCAAGATGCAAATGGTCTCTCCAATCGAAAACCCTTGTGTTTTGTCGCAAACGTTGCTGGAGGCGGTGTGTAAAAGTCGACGCGGTCGATGCGCTCTCGCCTATGAACTGCTTCCGTGTTGCTTCGTAGGTAATACAACGCTGCGAAGGAAGCAGCATGGGGTAAAACAGCCTCGAGACACCACCAAGCTAAATCGAGTGTCTGTGGATGTCCGCTGTAAAACTCTACGTAGTCTTGCGTTGTTGCACCCTCTTGATCTTCCTAACGACTGGTCCACCCACCCTTGAGACTCAAATGGAGCACCCTGTGGGGCCATTTCCGTTGTTTTTACTGTCGTGACGCAGTCGGGTCGACCACCCACGCAATTGAATCCCAACCAGCTTGACCCGATGTTGTTTATGCTCGTCATGGAGCACCAACCAAATCGGGTCGAAATCGCGAAACGCGTGGTCCGTGCATCATGAGGAGCACTGCGTCGCAGTTGTTGGACCACGATCCAGTGTCCAACTTGAACGATCGTCCTTACTTGTATTTGTCAATCGTACTAAACGAATACCCCAGTAGTTGGAGCTCGTGGATCACGTCGCGGAGCACCAGCGCTTTGTCCAGCGTATCAAAAAAGTAGTCGTGTGTGAGGACGACGACCGCGTTTTTGTTGAGTCCCCGGTTTTCCTTTTGGTCAAATGCGCGGGCGATCGTGTGGACCACGTTGCATTTCTCCCGACTCGAATCCACCGACCCGCCGCGACCAAGTTTCCACTCGGCGTCCCATCCAAACGAACTCCATGGTTTGCCTTGGTAGAGTGGATTCCGACAAGGCAATGTCCCTGCAAACATGTCGTCTGCAGCACCGAGCCGCGCCGCCCGCTCTGCTTGCGTGTCGACAGCGCGAAAGCCCGACGAGAACGAGAATCCTCCGGGTAACTTCCACGCGTTCGAGCACGGCAGGCGCACGTAGCTCCAAATATCGTGGATCGCCTTTGCCAGCAGCTCCTTGTCCGCATCCGTCGACCACGCATTCGCAGCTTGAAGCGCGTTTTCAACGTGTTTTGCTCCGCGAACAAAATCCGACGCGATGGTATTGCCGCACGTCGTCATGCTGTCTTCGATCACGGTAGCCGCATTTGTCTTGATGTAGTTGCAATTGGATGCGCCATCGTCGTAAAAATGCGTGTCCGAGTGCGCGCCCAGGGCATGCCCAGCTTTGACGGTCCACACCATGCGCGCCGTCGCGTTGTCGAAGACGTCGGGAGTGCACTGCAGCTTCGAGATGGTGTTTGTCGTGTCGCCGCAAAAGTTGTACCCGCTCTCAAAGAACGTCAAGTAGACCGGTGGGGGTCCAGTGCGTGCTGTGTTGAGCTGGTGCATCGCCATCAAAATGTTGGCTCGACCGGATGCAGCGGGACCGTCGTCGATCGTGATAAACACGGTCTCGCCAGGCTTGGCTGTCCGTGCGCCGTTGCACGTCGTCAATGTCGGGATGGGTTTTGTCACGGGTGCCGTGGGCATTGGACCAACAGGGAGGTTCGATTTGTACGCGCCAATCGAGTTGGTCTTGATTGTGGACGTAGGAGCTGGTGTTGGGGCCACCGTGGGGATGGCAACCAAGAGAAGTGGCGCGGTCGACTCTGGCATGGCAGACGGCGCGACGACGACGACGTGGTCTTCTTCGTGGGATGGAGGATGTCGGCGGTCGTCTCCGCCATGACCGGTAAGGAGGACGAGTGTCTCCATGGCATTCCACAGCGCCACGAGGCCGAACATGGCGGGGGGACAATCGCGTCAAGCGAGTTCGCCGCTTCAACGGAATTGCGTCGTCAGGTGGCGTCACTTTCATCCATCTGGTCAGAGCATGTGTCGAATTCCTCTGGATGATTCCCGCGACTGGATTGGCCACTCGATTGAATCGGGTTTGAATAGGCACGTTGTGGACAACGGCCTCCCGCGTGGCAAGCTCGCAGCAGCACCAGTGTAGTTACGTTAGCAATGGGTGCTGTCGAGCAACGACCGCAACGGGAGGGGGAGGGGGGGTGTTGTCAGCGATGATGCAACGATGGTGCGCCAAGAATCCTCGAGCGACGACAGATATTCCGACACGTCCACTCGCGCGCGTCGACACGATTCCTCCCATTCCAGGGACGTCGAATGAAGCTTCCCATCACACGACCCAGGCGAAATGCTTGGCAGGCCGTGAGAATCGCAGGTGTCCATCGCGTCTGGCGTGGCCCGGTTTTTTCATCGGCACAATGTTGAAACTTCGACGAAGTTTGAGACCAGCCACCAGAGTGTAGCGCGGAACGCCGTCGTTGGCGAGGGATTTTGTTGCCGCTCGGGGACCAGGTTGCGTCGGGCAAACTCGATGCCAGCCCTGTGAGCAAAGAGGCACGGACGAGTGGAGGACGTCGAGTGTGCTCGCTTGCTGTTTTCATCCCGACAACTGGTCGACGTTTTCGTTTCGGTCGGCACGCCCAGCAAGGACAACATGGCTCGTCCGCATTCCTTTTCAAGTCAAGTGTGAGACGTCCAAGTGAAAATGCCATTTATTCGTCGTACCATGATCAGTGGAATAGTCCCTCGAGAGGATATCGTAGCGCTCGCTCGTCCAGCCTGGGTATAGCCCGCGATGCAAGTGGCGCTGTCGGGGAGTACTCGGAGTATGACTTTCGATGGCTAGTCATCATCACCCAGGTCTCGATCTCCACCACATGCCAGCATATTTTTCCATACGACAGCTGCCATCCAAGACCACAGCGAGAACGGATTGCACAGGGCGACAACCATCGCACTGCCATGTTTGTCGCTAACGAGTGATGGCGGCACTGCCTGTACCCTTCCATAGGCTTCATCTGGGCTGGATTCCCACACAAGGACCTTGCCGCCCACGATGCTCGCACTATGACTGCAAGGACTACCTCGTCGCACGAGCCCTCGTGCACTTGTGGCGTTCATGGCGGCCATGCGCCAACTCCTCGAGCGCTTTCGATTCAGGTCGGTTAAATAGTCCTAAAGGTCTACATATCCCTACAATTTGACGGGGTACTGGTCCAACGTGCCGATCGTGTACCCGAGGAACTGGAGCTCCGCGATGACATCGCGAAACATCGACGCCTTGGCAACGTCTGCAAAGAAGTAGTCGTGTGTGAGGAGCACGACGTGGTCGCCGCGCGGCCCAACCTTCCACTTGCTGTCGAACTGGTTGACGACGTCTTGGACAACGCGGCATTTCTCGCGCTGCGCGTCGTACGTAGCTTTGGCATCCATCCGCCACTCGGCATCCCAGCCCATGACGAACCACGGCTTCGTGTCGGCCCTGCACTCGAGCTTTCCGCCAAAGAGCTTTTCTGCCGTCATCATGCGGATGTCGCGCTCGGGACCCAAGTCTTCTTTGCGCAACCCAGTCACCGACGTCACGTCCGGCAGTCGCCATACGTTCGTGCACGGCAGACGCGCGTACGACCACAGCGTCGACACTGCGCGCTTGTACGCAGCTACCTCGGCGTCGTTTTCCCACAGTGTTTCGTTGGACAGGGCCATATCGATGCGCAATGCTCCGCGGACGATGTCGGACCACGGATCTTTCCCGCACTTGGCGAACTTGTCTTCGATCTTCGTGGCCGCATTCATTGTGCGGTAGTTGCAAAAGCCCGCTTTCGCGTCGTAAAAGTGCGAGTCCGAGTGCGCAGCGATCATGTGCCCTGCCTTGATCGTCCACACGAGGAGCTGCAACGCCGTGTCGTACGCTGCTGCATTGCACTGGAGGTTGATGATCGCGTCGGTTTCTTGGCCGCAAAAGTTGTATCCGCTTTCGAGGAACGTCACGTAGGCAGGGGCGACTTTGTTCGGGCGGTTGTTGAGCTGGTCCATCGCGTTGAGCAGGTTCAGGCGGCTGCCCGGAGACGGTCCGTCGTCGACGGTCATGTACACGGTTTCCTTGGACGATTTGGCTTTCCGGGAAATGCCGCATGTCGGGGCTGTGGGGATTGGGACTTTGGCCGGTTGCCCTACAAACTTGGGAAACCTGACCTTGTCTATGACTGGAACCGTGTCGTTGGTGCTGTTGTTGGTGGGAACGGTCGTGATGGGGGCCTCGGTTGGTGCGTCGGAATGCGGAGCCGACGGCCACGGCTGGTTGACGTAGTTGGGTCCGTCGTGTTTGTGGTTGCCGCGGTCTCCGCCTCCTTCGTGCGACCCAAACATGAACATAGCCACAACATTCCACACGATGACGAGGCCGAACATGGGACTGGGAATTTTAAAAATGACCAACCTCTTGACATTGGTGGGACCTTCGAACTTCGCTGTTTGGGACACCGCACCCAGTTCACGCGCAACCGTGGGATCATGTCCTGGATAATAATAATCCATCTCTATTTCCAATCGACGAGAACTTTTCGTTTTCAATTAAAATATACCCACCATGCCGTCGTCGTCGGCATGTTTGTCGTTTAAAGTCACTTGGTTTTTGTATACCAAACTTTACTCTGGATCGGCGCGGGCATCCATGTGATGTAATGCACATGTCACGCGCGGTGGGCTTGTTCCTATGCACCCTTCCCGGGCAGCGCAGCAGGAACAGCTCAACATGGACGCGTGCATACTCGGCGATTCACGACGTTTGTGGAGGTAGCGCGGGTGTGACTCGGTGGCCGCGTCCACCCGGGGGATCGCGCTGTCGTTTGTAGGTGGATAGCATGGACACCAGGATAAGTCCATCAAGGCCCCCACGTTTCCGACGTCATGGCAGGGCGAGGTCCACCAGGCCAGCCAAACTCGTACCATAGCGCGCCTACTGCGGATGTAGACATGACTGAGTTGAAAACGCAATTGTCGCAGTGGGACACAGTGCTCGAACAGCGCTGGGCTATCCTCCGCCGACAATATGGTAGCGAGTCGAAGCATGGGACGTACGTCGGGACGAGAGCGCGTTTTCTGCCGTCCACGGGGGTAAAAATAGAGTGTATCGTGGGATGGAGTAGATGCACGCACCATCACCACTGACGTCCGAACGCGCCGTCGCGGAAGCGGCCGTGGCCAAAGCAATTCAGTTTGCCTGTGCCAAACAAACAGTCGCCCCTCGCACGCCACCACCATGCATCCTTCGTGCGACCGACATTACAGCAGCAGTGCAGACGTCCACAACTCGCCCCAAACACTCCGTCCTGGCGGCTGCTTTCGTCCAACAGGTGGTCGTGGCGGCACGACAGAGCGTGCTCGACAAATCCGCGCCGAACCCCCCCATCGCTCTGTCTGCTACAGCCATGCCGTCGTCCAAGGCGCTACTCCCGTGCGAAGACAAGTCGGATGATGTCCATGCGCAGCCAACGTCTAGGACATCGAACGGGGTGGAGCTTCTCTCCCTTTGTCGCGAAGACGGCCCGTCATCTTCACGGTAAGTAGTACACTCCCTCCTGTTTGCAACTGCGGCAGTGTGACCCGTAGACAGAAGCGCTCTGCACCGTCAGCGGGCCAACCCAGCCTGAGCTCGGCGGTGTCGCTGTTCGAAGCCACCGACGGGACACCCGATGCATTCCACACGCACGTACCAAACTTGATCACGCAACTTGCGCTGTACCCCGTCGCTTCGAATGCACCCCCCAACACCCCACGACAGCTCAAGCCAAAGAAACAAGTGCTCCCACCCGTCGTCGCCACCCCTGCCTTGTCCCACCGCACCAAAGTCGCCGCCGAGGTGTATCTTGCAGGATCGTCCGACTCGATCGTGGTGGCAAAGCCTCATCATGTTGCACGTCACGTCCCCCTCGAGCCCCTCGTGTTCAAGGGCGGACGGCACAAGCGCTTCCTCCACGACCCGTCCAAGCCGACAAACTCCCCACGTCGCAAGAAGCTCGAGCAGCAGTACGGCGCGCTCGAGCCGAAGCGGTCGGTGCCACATGTCCCCATCCACGCGTGTGCACCAAGTCAAGTGAGCGGGTTCTGCCGGCAGTGTCTCCTTGTGGGAGACATGTGCAAACTCGCCGACTGCCGCGACCACAACTACTTTCGTCCTCACAAACCCACCCATCATCATCCGCATCACCCAGGACCATAAGCGCCACCACCACATCGACCCCTCCCTCCTTCGTGTACCTCGCCGACAACGATGCATGGACAGCACAGCGTGAAGATGCAATCTTTATGACTATTCTACATGCAGCAGCAGCATCGATCCACGCGCTTGTCGCGAACACGATTCTCTTGGTCGACATTAAATACTCTCCAACGCAAACAGGCCGTCGTGCTCCAACTCGCGGATGCGGCGGCGATCGGCGTCGAGGACATCCGGGTCCGTGTGGATGAGCAAAATGCTGCCGGGGGTGGTAAACATGTCGATCGTGCGTCGAACCGAGTCGCCAACCTTGACCAACAAATCTTTGCGCAAAAACGACGGCATCTTGGTAATTTCGGCGAGGCCGGGAAGACCGCGCAGCACACCGTCTTGGTACGACACCAGCATCACTTCGCACCCGTACTGGGGCAACTTGAGCGGCTACACGACCAAGTTAAAAATCCATCCTTTTTCACATCCCCACACACGTACTCGCTCGGGGAGGAGGTCAAACACTTCGAGTCGCCCCACGTACACGTCGACCGCGACGTCAACTTGGTTGTACCCGACGCACGTGTCAGCAATCGGCACCCACGCGCCTTCGCCGCCATGGCATCGAGCGCCAACTTCAATCAGCACGGGGGCGCCGCGGCAAAACTTGACCTCTCCGTGGCCAGGACCATTCTGGAACCCCAACGCATCGAGGACAGTGAACTGGTAGTCGATCAACGCATTCACGACGTCGTCGGCGGCGGGGACGACCGACAGGCCGAAGTACACAAACGCGGCATCATTCACTCGTCGCTTGTCGTATTTCCAAATGGCCGTCACCTTGTGGTGGCCGCGACAACTGACCGTGTCAATGACATACTCGTCGCCGTCGAGGAATTCTTGAACGAGTACGCACGTGTTGGTGAGCCCGAGACCGTTGACCTTGCCAAGAATCGCGTCAAATGTTTTGTGGGCCTCGTCTTCCGACAGACAGAGCGTCACATCTTCCGTGCCGGCGCTATTGACGGGCTTGAGCACGACTTCGAGCGGTTGAGGCAACGTCTTGATGAACGCTGCAACTTGGCTCCACTCAGTGCACTTGGCTTGCTTCACGGCACGAATCCCTGCATGGCGAAGCGCTTCGCCCATCAAGTACTTGTCGCGTCGGGCTTCCGTGTAGTTCATGTCATTTCCAGTCGTCTCGAGCACTTCTGAGATTGCATCCGCCAACAGGACGCCAGTTTCCGCGCCAGGAATGATCGCAACAATCTCCACCGACCCTCCATGGCAGTAGTCGGTCGCCGCCGCCATCAACAAGTCGACCGTGTCTTGAACACTCGACCCCGCATGCTCGACCGTTGCGGCAAACTCGAGGGCGATGCCGTCCGGAACCAAATTCGCCACGCTCTCCATATTTTCCAGCAAATTGCTGTACAAGCAAATGCAGGAAAGCCCTCGCGAGATCACGCGCTGCGCCACAACAGCGCCAGTCGAGAACGGATCCACGACCACGACCATCTACACGTAAGCATCCATGGCATCCTTTTCCCTTCGCACGACATTGGCATACCTTTGTTGGGTTGGCCTCAGTGTTTGGAAGCGGGCTCAAGTCCCACAGCCCATGGTGCTCGAGCTCACGCAGTCGCGCATAGTCCTTCTCCACGACGGCTTTGTCTGCATGAACAAGCAAGACGCTTCCAGGTGTCGAAAACATGTCGATCGTCACTGGCATGACGTCGCCAACCTTGGTGTGAAAGGACTGCGACACATAACTTGGCATGGCTTGGATCTCTGGAAACGCTGGAAAGCTGTTCACGACCCCCGTGGCATAGCTCACAAGCATGGCTTCGCAGCCGTACCGTTTGAGCTTGCTAGGCATTTTTGGCAGCTTGTCAAACGCATCCGGGTCAAAGTACGAGTCGAGGGTGGCTCCGACTTGGTTGTACCCAATGCACGGTGTAACGATTGGAATATACGTGCCTTCGCCTCCATGGCATCGGGATCCAATCTCAACCAAGCATGGTTCGCCACCGACAAATTTCACTTCAGCGTGACCAGGACCGTGTCGAATGTTGAGCGCATCTACACCCAAAGTGTTAGACGTCGGGGAGATATTCATGCAGGTCGAGTCCGTACCGAGAACTTTAAAGATGTACTCAATGATCGCGAGTATTGTCGGCCCAGACGCCTCTCGTAGCAAGACACCATAATACACAAACGGCGCGCCGTTCACTGCCCGCTTGTCGTATTCCCACACGGCAACCACCTTATGCTCGCCGTCGCGGCTGACTGTATCGACAACATACTCCGTGCCTGTCAGGTACTCCTGAACAAGCGTCGCGCGGTTTTGAAGACCCAAGTGGTTGATTTTGCCCTGAATGTTCCCAAAGGCCTTTTTCACTTCGTCCATGCTGCGGCACAGAAACACGTCATCGCTCCCAGCGCTTTCCACTGGTTTCACAATGACCTGTACAAATCCATCACGCAAGTGCCATGACAGTGAGAAAAGGGCCTCCTGCATACCTCAAATGGATTTGGTCGCAAGTCGTTCTCTACAAAATCGACAATTTGTTTCCACGTGGTAGCATTGCACTGCTTGACAGCACGTAGTCCTGCGCGACGAATTTTCTCGCCCATAGCGTACTTGTTTCGGCGCGCTTCCGTACCATCGGCACCATTTGTCGTCAAACCCATGCGGTCCGACACGCGATCGGCCAGCATCACGCCGGTCTCTGCACCTGGTAGGACACCCACAATAGGTACCCCGACGTGGCGCAAATGCGCAATTGTGGCGTCGAGTGCAGCCATCGAATGGTCCGCTCCTGTTGATAAACGTGGTCACTACAGTTCGCAGAACGTGTAGAGGCATACCGTTGTGGTAGATTTCAGCAGCAAATTGCTTGTGCATGCCTTGGGGAATGTGCTTGATGAGGGGTTGCATGACCTCGAGAGTATCGCTGTAAAGAACGATACAGAGGTAGTCGCGCATCATGACTTCGCTTGCGAGGACCATGCCCGTGGAAAATGGGTCGATGACAACAATTGCCTCGGTGGGAGCATCCAACTCAGGAATCGCACTCAGCATCAAGGATACGTCACGCGTCTCTTCCACATTGAAATACCGCTTGTACATGACATCACCGACAGCTTGGTTATTCCTTCGCATGCGTGGATCAAACGTGGACGCGCGCACGAGTTGTGGGATCGGGTGATGCTTCAAAGGAATTGACTTTCGTCGCAAGTGGATTCGTTCGTCGAAAGTAGTCGCGCGTTGGTCGCTTGACAAAATACGAAATACAGGCTCGTACTCTTGGTTCTCATGACGTTTCAACGGGGACGACGCGGACGACGATGCCGTGGGTGACGACAACGCCGTCGAGTCATGGAATTTGACGTGTCCGACGGGTGGTGGAACGACTGGTGAAGGCGGCGCGTCGGTGGTAGAGGCAACATTTCCCATCTCGGCGGCGCGGGACCGGAGAAAAATCCCAAATGACCCCACACACATCAACCAAATCTAGAAGTCGAAACGACACAAGTTCAACCATTTCAATAATTTAATTGACTTCATTCCATATTTGTATTAACTCGTGTGAAATCGGATTAAAAATGCTGTTGATCCACCAAGTCGCTCCAACCACCACAATGACGCCCGCTCGCCTTTCCGTCGATCTCTCGCTCGCGATATGAAGCAGCTAGAACGCCTTCGAAAGCGCGTGAGAAGGATTTGTTTGAAAGCCACGGCGAGAAGGTCAGCGTGACGGCCTTAGTGTTGATGTGGTTCATAAAAAGGAGCGGCCGTCTCGACTTGCGCCGCTGTCCCCTGAGATGTGGTCACCACTTCAACTTGATGGAGATGGACGATGGTGGATATCGATTGTCAAAGGTTTATCCGGATACTCAAGTTTCGAACGATCTATTGCTTTTTGGTGTTCGGTGCCACATATTTTCTCAGGCAATTGTGTAGGCGGATGAGTCGACGGAGCCACTCTCAAGAAATAGTATTCGAGCCACGTGGTGGCACGGCGCGCAACGAATCGTTATGATGTGATGCAAAGCAGTCGCTTGGACGTGGAGACAGGTACAGTGAACCCCGGAAAATTTCGATAGGTGTAGTGGGCCAAACGCATAGAAAACGCATAGAAAATTAAACAAAAACTCTAGCAATTAATTCAAAGGCGAAAAACTGTCTCAGCGAACGAACTTTAACAAAGTATTCAACCTCTCAAAAGGTGAGACTTCAAAAACCACTGCTATTTCTTCGTGTTTAAAATGTCGCGGCTGTCGTACTTTGAGTGCATCCCCAAAACCGGCAGAGAATTCATTTCGAATTCGGATCATATTCTCCCCAATCAACTTGGAATGGCATGTGACACGTTGAGATAATTGATGATGCTTTGAAAAGTCCTGGCACAGCTTGAGGATTGTCATCGAAGAAGAATCAGTAAAACAGACGGATTGAATAGGTGATTCAATAAATTCGACAAAAAATTTCGACCTGTTTATGTTCGGTTGAGAAAATGTCGCATGAGTCTTACGCTAGGAAATCATTCGATGGATATACACTGATCGCGAAAAACGTGTCCTTTTTGAATAAATAGTAGCAACTAAAACCTCAAGCTAAAGACAAAATTTTCACCTGATCACATCCTTCTTTACAAGCCTTGATGCGGCGGAGATTTGGTCGACATCGCATTTTGGGGGCATTTACAGAAAAACAAGCCGGAAATGCGACGAAGTCATCGCCATCAAGATGCTGTAGGGATGTTGGATACACGATTCAATTGTAAGTGTTTTGTTTGGCAGAGTTGAGATAGAACGAAGGGTAACTTACAATGGACATCATCAGTGCACAACTTGAGACGAATTTTATACATTCTGTGCTATTTTGTAGCATGATGAGCTTGAGCATAAGGCAACAGAGTGTCCTGCCAAGCTTTACATTATCTGCATCGCGCTGGAATATCCACTGTGAAAGCTCGGGCAGTGGTCAAGGAAGCGTCACATTCTAACGCGATTTGCCTTGGCTTCCAACGTCGTTGGTGCTCGCGCCTAGCGTTTGAGCGATGAATAGTTGGGTAGCGTCTACTTATTTGGTTTCATTGTTGGAAACAAGTCCACTCGGCCGTCCTTGCGCAAGCTTCAAAATGTATTGGCAGTACGCTGACATAGGGTTGGAGGACACCAAGCTAAGGGTAGTTTTCTTCAAATCCATTGGACGTTTTGGTCCCAATCGTTGCAAAGGCGTCGTCGTTGATCGCCGATAGTGCCCAGTGGTCTTGTTCAATATTTTGAAGGTACCGTTACGCCCTGGGAACGCCCGCATCGAGTTGTTCCATGACAAAGTTCGTCTCGTCACGTGTTTTGGCGTCAGCAGCACTGTGTAGGTTAACTTTGTCTTCGTCTGAACGCGGAACTTGCGGGTTTTGATGTTTACATGCAAAACCTGTGTTTCCCTTCAGAGAAGCATTAGTCGACTACGGTAATCAAGCCTATTCGAACAAATACCTTTGAATACTAAGTACACCCTGTAATCTGCACCTTTGTCTCGGTTGGACACGACAAAACTTTCTGGTTTGAGACCAATGCCAGACAGGTTGAGCTCCTTTAAGAACCAGTTCCAATTGTCTGTGTCTTTAACTTGTAATTGTTAACGCTATCACCACGTTTCAACAGGAGATGCGGTAATGAACATACTAGCCTTGGTGTAGACACCCTTCAGGTGGCATGCATCGAGCGTGACTATGTGCTTGAGGCATTCATCGCTTTCTTCTAAGCTTCCTGCGACGACAATGTATCGCTTAAACGCACTAGTAATGTCAACCTCAAATGCACTTATTGTGTCTACAGATTTTTCAGAAACGAAACAGATCATTCAGGAAGTGAATAATGTAACCATCAGAACTTCCCTCGGCCAAGCGAATTAAATAGCTGACCAGTATTTAATACCCGTCTTCTACTGTTCCATGTATGACAGCAACAGCAGCTTTTTTACGTTGACAAAAGTGGATTGTGATTCTTCGATTCCAAACTTCAATTTTATCGTTGCATTGACCTGTGCCGTTGTTACTAAGTAACACTCTACGTTTGGAGGTGGTGCATTCGCGACATACTCGGCCACTCACATTACACCCTGTAAGTATTTCATAAAGTTATGCTTCATGTAGGAAAGTTCACCTCAACACAGGTAAATGTTCGATTGTGCCAGCCCTTCGCAGGTGCA